GCAGTATTTGAAAAGCATTAAATTAAAAAGTCTCGCAAAACCTGCAGGGTTTATAATTATAGAATTATACTTCAGGTAATTAATTGTATATTTTTGATCGGTCAGATTTTTTTTGTGCATTTTTTAGACATTTTGTCATTTTATTGAGCCTTTTGATCCATGTAGAAATATTGAAATAATTTTCAATGATTTCTTTATCGGAAAGATAGAAAAAATTCGTGATTCGATACGATACAACAGACTTCAGTCACAGTGCTTAATAATCGTTCATCAAAATTTAAATTGTCAATTTCCAAAAAAGTTGCGGTTGGTGAAAAGAAGAATGCATCGTCCAGTCTTTCTAATGCAACTTGTGCTGATGACAAAATTCCTACCAAAGTTTTGAAATTTTATAGCAGATGTTGGATTCCACTTTTTACTTTCTCGTGTAATCTGTCGTTTGACTCTTACATATTACCGTCCTTCCTTTAAAATGGAATTGTTCTCCCTCACCTTAAGAAATCTAACTTGGAGTTTGACTGTTTCGCGTCATATCGTCCACTCACAAATCTTGCTTTGTTATCAAAGCTTTTAAAAAGACTGGTTTTCAATCAAGTTTATAGCTATTTAATAACTAACAATTTTCTAGATCCCCATCAATCTGCCTACTGTGCTTTCTACTCCACTGAAACGGCTTTAGTGAAAATTCCGTCGGATTTACTCGTTTTTCTAGATAAAAAACCTGGTATTATTTTCACCCCTGACCTCTTATCGGCTTTCAACGCCATTGACCATGATATTCTCTTGGACGTTTTTGAGAGAAAAATTGACATTACTGGCGATGCAAAAGTTTGGTTTCTTTCATATTTGAAAAACAGGACACAGTGTGTTCGCATCAATGAAGTGACCTCCCCACACCCTACTTTAGGTTTCGGAGTTCCACAGGGTTCTATACTTGGTCCTTTGTTGTCTACAGTGTACTTGTTGCCTCACTCCAACATTCTCAACACTTTAAATGTGAATGATAATCGTTTTTCTATTGATTGAAAGATTTATTTGGTTATCGACCGTTCTACAGATTTATGGACTAACAAAGTTGATGACATTATTTCTGTGGTCTCAACGTGGTTCTCTTCCGTCAACTTGAAACAGAATGATGACAACACTGAACTCATGTTTGTTTCTGTTCGTAACTCATCTCAAACTATACCGGAAAATTTTTAATTTCAAGGCAATGAGCTTTCTCTGTCAACTCATATCAAATGTCTGGGTTTTATATTTGATGATAACTTGACATTTAAAAAGCAAGTTAACAGTGTTTGCTCTTCTTGCAATTACCAGCTTAGGCGCATTATCTCAGCAAGTTAACAGTGTTTGCTCTTCTTGCAATTACCAGCTTAGACGCATCTGCTCATTTCGGTTTCAAAACCGCTGTTACTGATGCTCTTCTTAGGCGCATCTGCTCAGTTCTGTTTCAAAACCGCTGTTTCAAACCACTTAGTTCCCTTGTACATGCACTGGTACTTTCACGATTTAATTATTCCAACTCACTCTTTTTTTCCCTTCCTGGTCTTCTTCCTCGGAAACAACAGCGCCTCCAAAATCGCGCCGACCGAGTATTGTGACGTTTATCACGTCAATCAAATATTACTAATGTTTTGATTCAAGGCAATGTGTTTTCGCTATCAACTCATACCAAACGTCTCGCTTTTATACTTGATGATTACTTGACATTTGAAAAGCAAGTTAACAGAGTTTGTTCTTCTTGCAATTACCAGGTTAGGCGCATCTGCTCAGTTTGATATGCTGCCATGCCCTTGTACGTTCACTGGCAATTTTTTGATTCGATTATTTGTTGATGACATTATTTCTAAGGTCTCAACGTGGTTCTTTTCTGTCAACTTGAAACAAAATGATCACAAGACTGAACTTTTATTTGTCTTTCGTCGTATTTCATTCCACAGTATACCGGAAATTGTTTAATTCAAGGCAATAAGCTTTCTCTATCAACTCAAATAAATCAAAAGTCTTGGTTTTATACTTGATGATAACTTGACATATGAGAAGCAAGAATTATTTCTATGGTCTCAACGTGGTTCCCTTCCGTCAACTTGAAACAGAATGATGACAACACTGAACTTATTTTTGTTTCTGTTCGTAACTCATCTCAAACTATACCGGAAACTTTTTAATTTCTAGGCAATGAGCTTTCTCTTTCAACTCATATCAAATGTCTTGGTTTTATGTTTGATGATAGCTTGACATTTAAAAAGCAAGTTAACAGTGTTTGCTCTTCATGCAATTACCAGCTTAGGCGCATCATCTCAGCAAGTTAACAGTGTTTGCTCTTCTTGCAATTACCAGCTTAGGCGCATCTGCTCATTTCGGTTTCAAAACCGCTGTTACTGATGCTCTTCTTAGGCGCAACTGCTCAATTCTGTTTCAAAACCGCTGTTTCAAACCACTTAGTTCCCTTGTACATGCACGGCCAAGTCCTTGTACATGCACTGGTACTTTCACGATTTGATTATTCCAACTCACTCTTTTTTCCCTTCCTGGTCTTCTTCCTCGGAAACTACAGCGCCTCCAAAATCGTGCCGACCGAGTAATTTGACGTCTATCACGTCAATCAAATATTACTAATGTTTTGATTCAAGACAATGAGTCTCGCTTTTATACTTGATGATTACTTGACATTTGAAAAGCAAGTTAACAGAGTTTGTTCTTCTCGCAATTACCAGCTTAGGCGCATCTGCTCAGTTTGATATGCTTGCCATGCCCTTGTACGTGCACTGGCAATTTCTTGACTCGATTATTTGGTAATCGACATCTCTACAGATTTTTGGATTAACAAAGATGATGACATTATTTCTAAGGTCTTAACGTGGTTCTTTTCTGTCATCTTGAAACAAAATGATGACAAGACAGAACTTTTATTTGTCTTTCGTCGTAATTCATTCCACAGTATACCGGAAATTGTTTTGTTCAAGGCAATAAGCTTTCTCTATCAACTCAAATAAATCAAAAGTCTTGGTTTTATTTTTGATGATAACTTGACATATGAGAAGCAAGTTACCAGTGTTTGCTCCTCTTGCAATTACCAGCTTACGCGTATCATCTCAGCAAGTTAACAGTGCTTGCTCCTCTTGCAATTACCAGTTTAGGCGCATCTGCTCAGTTTGGTTTCAAAACCACTGTTTCAAATTGCTCAGTTCCCTTGTACATGCCCTGGTACTTTCACGACTTGATTATTGCACTTCACTCTTTTTCCCCTTCCTGGTTCTCTTCTTGAGAAACTACAGCGCCTCTTAAACCGCGCCACCCGATTTATGTGACGTTTATCACGTCAATCACATATTACTCATGTTATAAAAGAGCTTCACTGGTCGACTGTTTCGTCCATAGTAAAGTTCAAAATCTTGATTCTAATGCAAAAGATTGTTTATCACCAGTGCTTCGTACCCTCTTACATACTTGATCTGTTTGTTCCTGCAAACCTGTCAACTTCGCGTAGTTACCATTGTACAGATTTACACATCCCCATACCACTGTCGAAGTATGGTGAAATATCTCTGAGAATAGCTGGGCCGAAATACTGGAAACACTTTTCTGCTGTTCTGAAAATCAATTCTTTGCATTCCATTTTCAGGAAGAACTGGAAAAAAAACTTATTTATGTAATGACTCGTCGTTTCCTCCAACTTAAACAAACTGCTCTTTTGTGCACTTTGTGTAAAAGGTAGTTAAACACTAATAAGAAAATTAATAATGACAAAATGTGCGAAAACATTTGAATTAACATGTCGTTTTTAACATATTTTTCTGAAGTTGAATGTCCTTCCACACCGGCTCTTTTTTCTCAACCTCGCCTTGATCCTTGATAACAATTGGGCATTAGAAACAAACACTTTTTTGGTAACAATTCGCAATTTTAGCTAAAAGAGCCGCAATCTTTCAATATTTAACAATGTCTGCCGTTGTTGTGATGTATCACAAGTGGCACGAAGCTCAATTTTGTTTAAGTGTAATTTTTTGAGCGATTGTTGAAACTTTTGACTTTCTCGAGAACTACCCTGCCAAACCTGGGTTTTTGGGTTCGATTGAAGTTTCTGGCTAAGCTTCTGCCTAAGCGGCCAAGCCCAATTTTTTTAAACAAACACCTATGATTTTCGGAAATGTCATTATCTGATTTGTTGACCGTTTTGAGGCCTTTTCTCGAAAACTATCCTGCAAAATCTGATATCATTGATTTAATCGACCCAACAGGTTGTTAAAATCTTAACTTTTTATATTGCAATGTTGTTTTTTTTTTTGAAAAAGTTATGGCCTCAAACAAGTGAAAGTGTCTTGAGTTTTCTTAAAAACTACCCTATCAAATCTGAGATGAAAAATTCAATCCAAAAAAGCAGCGGTTGCGCGATGTTTCCTGCAGAAGTGGCTACTTCCTAATCTTTTGTCAGAGGAATGGTAGCTCTCTGGGGAAATTCCAAAACTTTAAAAACTTTCGTTCTACTTATTTAATTTAGTAGACAAACAACTAAGGTTTTGGACTGAGTCCAATATTTGAAACCACGCATTTCGTCCTGCACCAGTATAGCAATTTCAAAAAAATATCAAACACATACTTCCACTTATAGCTAAGATCTAGGTGTCCGTTATCGAGACATACGAAAATTTTGCTTCACTTAGTTTTTTCAACATTTTGAATTTTTTTACTTGTTTTTTTTTATTGTGTTGTATCGCAAGTGGTGCAAAGCTCTGCTTCGCCTGTATTTGAATCTATGTTTTCCTTGATCCTAGAAGAGCCCTTTTTCCTGGCTTGTGAAACGTAAATATGTCGAGGCGGAGGCTGTTCTTCAATCATTTTGATAGGAACTATTGTTTGGTTTAATTGTTTGAACTTCAAGCGTTCCAAAAAAACATCTTGCTTATCCATTTTATCGCAAAAAAGCGAGATCTATTTTTTCCATTTTTAGACCTTGCTACCACCAAACAAAATTTTGTAAATAAATGCCTCTTAATTCACAAATCGCTGTGATCTTTGTTTCTTATTAGCGCATACATGCCGACAATCATTTTATGAAACCAAAATAAGTTCATGCAACTTATTGCGAAGTACAAGGTAGTTGTGGCGACATGAAACCCAGTCTGTGATTTTGGGTCGTGGGCTATGAGGTCCAGTTGCCAGTAGAGCATCCAGGGTAAGGGGATAATGCGGCTGCAGAAGAATGTTATGAACATGCCAGTCGAGACTGCTTTGTAGACAATTGATTGTTTGGAGATTCCTGAAAACAAAATAAACTATGTTTTTTTTCTACTGTAGCTAATTGCTACTGTCTGGTGACCTGAGTTAGCATTTCCAACTCATTTGAATTTTTGCTTGTGATTCTTCTATCGTATTTTCATTTTAAGAAGATGACGAGTGGAAACTCAGAGGTGATACTCAAAAGCCTATGCTACTACTACCACAAATTGTTTCCATAAAACTAAAATATCAACAACATTCTCATCAAACACTACAAAAAGTACGGAAACCAACTTGACTTAAAATCGATTAGCCAACTTAGCTGGGATTACTTCGTCAACAAACTCAATGATCCAATAAGCGAAAACTAATTTTGATGTTAATCTAAATAGAACAATTTGTTAAAATTGAAGACGAATCGTCTGATCTAATAAAAATCAGTAGCGGTGCAGCCCTAGGCTCCATGCTAGTCCCTTAACTTTCTTCTTATTTGTGTAAATGATTTACCAGATTCAAGCCCTCACCTCAAACGTTACGGTTTTGTTAATGATTTGAACTCATTGCCTTAAATGAAATCGACTTAGTCAACAGAGGTCGAGAAGTTTGTAAGTGGGGTCTGAAAAATGTCGTGACCACAAATACAAGTTAGTACGAATCGCTAATTCTTAGGGGAAACTTATCAGCCCAATTAGGTAACACTGAACTGCTACCAACAGATGACCAAAAGGACCTGGGCCTCATTGTAACTCCATATCTAACATGCAATGAAAAGAGATGCGCTAAAGGAATAAAAGACACTCTTTCAATTAAAACAAATTATATCCTCAATGTGCTCATGGGTCAACAATTTCCACTCATGTACAGGCTGCATAGTCCAAATAATAAATTGCTGCTCACAAGCTTGGTCACCAAGTAGATTAAATTGTATAAAATTTGAGCGTGTACAAACAATTGCCACGAAGTGGATACTAAACTCTGAACTTGATTACACAGAAAGACTTCTGGAACTCAATTTATTACCAATAGGTCTTTCTCCGTAGAAATACACGATCTTCTTTTGTATTCATCCCTGTTAAGTTAAAATCTGACATATCCATCAACGCTCAAAACTTGAGAAACTTTACCAACACAGTAGCGAGGAACACGTACTTAACAAAAACAGACATCAAAGCCGTTAAAAAATTTTCTGTAGAAGTAAGTTTTTATACATTGTCATTAAATACTACAAAAAAAATACGAAAGCAACAAAAAATCGATAAGCCAATTTTCTTGGGATTACTCTGCCAGTAAATTGAATTATCTAAAGAATAATACGCGGAGGATTGTCTTTAACTGTATCCATTGTAAAAATTGAAAAAAAAACTTGAAACTCAATTTTGATGTTAATATATAAAGAATGGGACGCATGAACTCTTGGGTAGAAGATTTTCCCAAAAGCCTCAACTACCACTACAAGCGGAATAAAAATATTTCTTTTTCTCATTTTTACAACCTGTGTGGCTTTTAAAGGTGCTCATACTGGGGTTGCTCATAAATTGCTGGGAGTACTTCGTCAGCAAATTCAAATTTTGAAAAGATACGTGGAGAATCTTCTGCAACTCCATCCATTGTAACAATTAGAAAAATCTTCAAATTCATCTAACATGAAAAGAAAACTGTGAAAGACATGCGCTAAAGGAATTAAATACTTTCTTTCAATTGAAACAAATTATATCCTCAATATGCTCATGGGTAAACAATTTCCACTCACAAACAGGCTGCATAGTCCAGATAATAAATTACTGCTCACAAGCTTGGTCATCAAGTAGATTAAATATTATAAAATTTGAGCGTGTATAAATAATTGCCACGAAGTGGATGCTAAACTCTGACCTTGATTACACAGAAAGACTACTGGAACTCAATTTATTACCATTAAGCCTTTCCGTAGAAATACACGATCTTCTTTTGTTTTCTTCCCTGGTTAAGTCAAAATCTGACATGTCCATCATCGTTCAAACGTTTAATGATGAGAAAATTTACCAACACAATAGCGAGGAACAGGAAATTTTCCGTAGAAATAAGTTTTTATACATTGTGATTAAATACTACGAAAAATACGAAAGGAACAAAAAAATCTTTCAGCCAACTTTCTTGGAATAACTGTCAGCAAATTGAATTATTTAAAGAGATGTACGCGGAGGATTGTCTTTAACTGTATCCATTGTAACAATTGAAAAAAAAAACTTGAAACTCAATTTTGTTGTTAATATATAAAGAGTGGGAACAGAAAATTGAATATATAAAGAATTACCAACACAGTAGCGAGGAACACGAAGTTAACAAAAACAGACATCAAAGCCGATAAAAACGAAGTGGATTTTCAATTGTTACAATGGATACAGTTAAAGACAATCCTCCGCGTACATCTTTTTAAATAATTCAATTTGCTGACAGAGTAATTCCAAGAAAGTTGGCTGAAAGATTTTTTTTGTTGCTTTCGTATTTTTCGTAGTATTTAATGACAATGTATAAAAACTTATTTCTACGGAAATTTTTTTATCGGCTTTGATGTCTGGTTTTGTTAACTTCGTGTTCCTCGCTACTGTGTTGGTAAATTTTCTCATCATTAAAGGTTTGAACGATGATGGACATGTCAGATTTTGACTTAACCAGGGATGAAAACAAAAGAAGATCGTGTATTTCTACGGAAAGGCTTAATGGTAATAAATTGAGTTCCAGAAGTCTTTCTGTGTAATCAAGTTCAGAGTTTAGTATCCACTTCGTGGCAATTGTTTGTACACGCTCAAATTTTATACAATTTAATCTACTTGGTGACCAAGCTTGTGAGCAGTAATTTATTATCTGGACTATGCAGCCTGTTTATGAGTGGAAATTGTTGACCCATGAGCATATTGAGGATATAATTTGTTTCAATTGAAAGAGTGTATTTAATTCCTTTAGCGCATGTATTTCACAGTTTTCTTCTCATGTTGGATGAATTTGAAGATTTTTCTAATTGTTACAATGGATGGAGTTGCAGAAGATTCTCCACGTATCGTTTCAGAAAATTGAATTGAATATATAAAGAATAACCAACACAGTAGCGAGGAACACGAAGTAAACAAAAACAGACATCAAAGCCGATAAAAAATTTTCCGTAAAAATAAGTTTTTATACATTGTCATTTAATACTACGAAAAATACGAAAGCAACAAAAAAAATCTTTCAGCCAACTTTCTTGGAATAACTCTGTCAGCAAATTGAGTTGTTTAAAGAGATGTACGCGGAGGATTGTCTTTAACTGTATCCATTGTAACAATTGAAAAAAAACTTGAAACTCAATTTTGGTGTTAATATATAAAGAATGGGACGCATGAACTCTTGGGTTGAAGAGCTTCCCAAAAGCCTCAACGACTACTACAAGCGGAATAAAAGTATTACCGTTTTGCTTTTTTACAACCTATGTGGCTTCTAAAAGTGCTCATACTGGGGTTGCTCATTTCTTGCTGGGATTACTTTGTCAGCAAATTTAAATTTCTAAAGAGATACGCGGAGAATTTTCTGCAACTGCATCCATTGTAACAATTAGAAAAAACTTGAATTTCAAGTTTGATGTTAATATATAAAACAATGGGTCTCATAAACTCGAGGGGAGAGTATCTTCCCAAAAGCTTCAACTATTACTACAAGCGAAGTAAAATTATTACTTTTCCAGCTTAAGTGGCAAATAAAACTGCTCATTTCGATACATTTTGGGGGCAACATTAAAGCTGTGTTACCTTTGCTGCATTCGCGTTTTTTTTCCTGGTTGATATTAACAGTCTTACTTTCCTGTGTGATAAACAAATGTATGGGATTTGGTTTTTTGGTGATGCTTTGGAAAATTTTCAAAAATTACTCTACCGATGTTCAAAAAAGTGAACTAATGATTTGGGCGACTGTATATTCAGCTAGTGTTTTTTACCCCGTCTAGTGTGTCACAGCAGTCCAAAATTTTGCTGGGGGAAAGTTTTGACTCATTTGTTGGATTTTTTCTTCATTTTCTCGAAAACTATCCTAGGAAACCAGAGTAAAATTTCAATTGAAAAAAGAGGCGATACCAGTTTTTCTTGCATTAACAGCTACGTCCACTTTTTGCGTAAAAGAAGTTATGGCCCTAGAAAATGTCCAAATTTTAAACTTTTGCCTGTTTTTTTTGGAAACTTACTCTCTCGAAAATTAATTTGAAAAAACAGATTAAAGGTTCAATTAAAAAACAAGCAGTTGAAAACGTTATCTGCTCAAGCGACGTGGCCTTAATTTATGTAGAAAAGACTTTATATTCTTATAAAAATCCAGTTTCCGCAATTTTGACCGTTTTTGGAAATGTTTTGATTTTCTCAAAAACTATCGTGCCAATTCTTCAATTATAGGCTCGAAAAAAATTGTTTTTATGCGTGTTTCCTGCAAAAGCTGCTTCGGTCAATTCTGAGAAGGAATGAGCTGTGAATATTTGGCCCATTTGATAGACTTTGCTCTCAGTTTCCCCAAAACAACCATGCAAGTTTTGAGGTTTAGAAATCAATCGAACGGTTTTGTTGCAATGATCTCCCTAGCAAAAGCGTTTTCTCCCTAATTTTGATAGAGAATCAAGCAAGGACTTGGAAATATTTCACGGGAACATAAGCAGAAATTTCAAAGTCGTAATTTTTTCCATCTTTGGAGCTATTTAATGCCGATTTCTCGCTGGTGTTCGAAGTGCACCTTTGCCTCTTTGTATTCTAACTGAGATTTTGCTCGGAACAAAGGGTCTTTATGAGATTTGTTTGTTAGTATTCTAGGCAACCATTGGCTAATTGTCAAAATTGATTTAAGGTTTGAATGAGAACGATTGCCTTAATCTTTGCAAGCAAGCGTATGATGCATCCCGACAGGTTTTACGGACTTTTAAGCTTATGTCAATTTATGTGGCTTGCTTAATTTGACACAATGTCACCAGATGAAAAATGGGGCTAACTGATGTCTGCACGTATTTCCTCTTTTGGTTATAAAATCAATTTAGTTATGATGTGAAAGTATCTAACAGACTTGCTGACTTTTGAGATTGAGAGAAGAATGAGTTATTTATAAACCTGTACATTTGAAAAACGACAAATTATTAAGACTCTTACGGCAAAGATGATGTCGCACAATCAACTACTGTTTGCAAAGTTGATACTGATTTATGTTGACAGTCAGCTGAAAGGTCAATTGAAAAAGAACGCGAATGAATATCTGCGGCAAGTTTGTTTGTTTCATCTTAATCAACTGGCCAGATGATTGTTTGTTATTTGAAATTCAAAAGAGTCAAATAGATTAATTGCGGGTTCAAAGAATTTCAAATGAGGTCAATACGAGGTTAGTATGAGCAATTTGCGGATGTGAGAATCCAAGATTCTGCTATCTGAAGTTTGAAGTCAATTTAGCCTTAATGTGTTGCGTTATGACTGACTTTAATGGATCATTTTGTTTCACGAATAGCAGAACGAATTCAAATAGATATTTTCCGGACGACTTGGGCGGATCAACTTTGAAGCCCCTGCTACGAGGTTAAACTAAGAAACTTAAAAAGAAATTGCGAGGACAAGAAAATAGTCTGATAGCGATTCGATCGAACTGCTGACTGAAAGATTGTTTAACTTCAAAGTATGATCAGTAATTTTAAGGGGCGTGAAAATGTTCACAGTTGAAATATCGGATACTTGGTTTTGAAGTCTAAACTGAAGAAATGAACTCGATCATGAATGAAGATATACTGTACCTCAGTGAAATTCTGAACTGACCAAAAATTGTTTATTGAAATTTAAATTGCTTTAAACTTTGGAAGTTATTATAATTTTGATTTTCATTCAGTTCTTCAACTTTTTTTCTCTATAATAATAGATAGATTCAAGAGAGAAGGCTTTAGTTTGGGGTGCGTACAGTAAGCCGATGTGTCCGTAAATTACCAGATCATTAAACCGGTTTAAGTTATAATTACATCAATTGCGAAATTAAAGATTTATAGAATAAATGTTTCCTGAGCTAAAACAATAGTTTTAAAACTAAAGGGGCCCGTGGGAAGAGTTATTTTATTCCAGTTTTCTAATGAATTTTTAGTTTTGAGGAAAAAATTTGTCATTTTGTAAAAATCTCAGTTTTTAGCTAATGTGATTACGTAATTGAATCATGAATTTTCGGTTTACTGATCTGGTCCGCCCGTTTTCGGTTTACTGATACATCGATTTACTGACTTACCACGAGTTTGTACTGTTCAACTTGATAATGATAGTTTCTGAAATATTTATTTGACAACCGCTGTTGTTCCAATGATTAAGACTTGTAACCCGCTTCGACTATTAGGAAACTAAATTGAAGTTTCGATTAATCTAAATGAGAATGACTCACCCAATGCGAGAATCATGAATCGCACATTGATGTAGGGGTTGGCTGTTTCCATAGCCAGGAATACCAGTTTGGGAATGGGCCAGTTATTATCGTACATCGAGGACTGGCCTATCAGTAGACCCACTGCGTGGTGCATCATCATGAACCAGAAGTTACGCGGCACATTTTGACACCTGAAAAGAACATATAAAAACATCACTTTTTAGTTCATGGCTACTTAATACCTTTAAGTTAATAGTCAAAATCTTTATCAAATATCTGATGTATTTTTTTCGTAACTGCTACAAAATATGATGATCCATATCACAAATTTATGTATAGACGTTATTTGTTTAAGTCAACGAACAACGCAATTTAGAGATTTGTCAGAATGCTTTAACACTATCTTCTTCTTTACTGCTTCTTTTCTAATGTTTTGTTTTTACCAAAAAAGACCCGAATTTTACGCTGATACGCCCCCGTAGGTTCTATTTCAGTCTTTGGAACCGTCCTCTGTAGTTCCACCTGATTATAATTTAGGAAAAAAATAATTTGGCAGCTTAATGTAAGTTTTGGACCGAAGTTGTAATAACCTGAAAATTGTATCCGCGAGCAGATACGCACACAATAGCGCATTTGCCTTTCGAAAACAAAACTGCATACCATCTTGATTGTCTCTAGGAAGATAAATAAACAGTGATAAACAAGCATAGCTGGTTGCAAACAAAGACGCTATAGTTGACCCAAGGTCAACGCAAAACGCGTTGATTTTAGTCGGGTCATTTTTGAATTTACGAATGTAAAGCGGAATCAATTTGGGAGTTACGTGGTAAAATAAGAAATATGGTATGAAATAAATTGTTACGTGGTTGTAGTAATCGAAATTAAGTTCTGATTTGAAGTTTGCCCAATAATTACGCCGAAACGGCCCGTAATCTAGCGGGTAAAACATTTAAGATGAGGTAGCGAAAATTTGCCTTATTCACAACACCAGTACAATGAACTTGAAAGATGACCTATAAAACTTCCATCTGTAGTATTCAAAAGTCATTCAAGTCAACCAAGAGTAGAAAGTCACTGAAAGGTGCTCTAAACATGACACTGAATTAATTGTTATATTTGATGTACTTCGCAAAATTAATTAAGCGCAGCTGTAAGCACAACTTAATCACAGATTTTGTAGACCTCATTTTTTTTGAAATTTTTAAAGATGCTTACGGTTTCCTGAAATTAGATTCAAAAATAAATATATTAAAACCGTAAGTAACTGCATTTTAAATGAAGAGTAAAATAGTTTGGAAAATTTCTATTTTTTTTCTAAGCTAATGTAATCTATCTGAATTATACATCATTTTGATTATTTAAAGGTAAAGAACGTTAACATTTTTTCGAATCTGAATCCACGTTTAGTTGCTTTAACCGGACTTAGAGCGACGTATCAAAAGATCCATTGCCCGCAATAATCTTTTCCTTTAACTGACTGTACGATAGTCATGTGACCAGGACTTTACCATTGTAATTGATTATTTAGAAAAAAAATCAATTGTCAAAGTTATCTGAAAATGAGATGACCAAGTTATAAATCATGGTATACTTTCCGTTTAAAACGAAAAGCTATTTTTGAAATAAATTCAAGAACAGTCGCTGGGTTATCTACATATTGAAATTCCCGTTTTAGGAAAAGAGAAGTTTTATCAAAATGTTTGAGATTTTTTTTTCTATTTCGCAACAAATTGATTTTTTTAGGAAGTATTTTACCGATTGTCAAAAATTTGGTACCAATAGAAAAATTTTTCTTATCATGTGGCCGGCATATTCTCGTTGAGTTTTTGCACCTTACTCAATTTTCTACAGCTTTCAAAAATTTTGATTGGGCCATGTTCGAGAGTTCCGCCTGTCGCTGGATATGCAGTAACTTGTAAACAGTTTGAGTTGTGCAGAGCTTTCCTTCGGAAAAGGAACTTCATAAAAATGGTTTTACCCTTTTTAAGAAAAAAGCTACGGTTTTCGGAGAAAAGCTATGGTTTTCGGAAAAACCAAATTTTTCAGAAACTAGCCAGTCAATTTTTGATAATAATCGATCACTCGAAAAATCAGGTTGTGATTTTTTTTTGCTGCAGAGGCCGGTACGCTCAGTTTTTTTGTTCGAAAAAGTATAGTTTTCGGAAAAGTGAAATTAGTTTGTTATTGTTACCGTTTTCTGGAAACTTTTGATTTCTTGAAGTGCAACTTTAGAATTTATGAGTTCAATCTCAAAAACAAAATGAAAAACTTTTTTCTCTAGAAGCGGCGGACTACCCTATTTTGTAGGAAAAGGTTGTTTCATGTGATGAAACTCCATTTTCCCATTTTTTTAACCGTTTTTTCAAGTTTTGAAAATTTCACTTTTCAAAAACTACCCTGCCAGATCTAATGTTAACAATTTAATTAAAAAACAGATAATGGGAAACTTCTTTATTTATATCTACGTTTTCAATAAAAAAATGCAGGAATCTTCAATACAGAAGTAGCTACACCTTAACTTTGAGATTTCAATCTAATATAAAAAATTTTTTTGTCAAAATTTCCCCGCATTTAACTTTTTTCTAAAAAATCCAGTATAGCTTCAGAAATCGTCAATTTTTTGCAGTGTTTTTTCTTGGAAAAAGTTTCACTTTTACCTTCTTCTTTCTACTATCCTTTCAAATCTGACATTGAGTTCAAGTTGAAGAAATGATAGCAGGAATATCATATATTTAAGCGGCTAATCTCGTAATTTACTAGAGAGTCCACCAATTGGAAATTTGAAAGACATGCGTTTCATCCCGCATAAAAAAACAAATCTTAAAAAATCAAAAAGGTACCTCCAGCTGTAGCTTGGCCCCTAGGTTTGGTTGTTCCAAGCGCTGAAAGAGCCGAGAAAGTTTTCTTTTCAAGCAAATTTACGAACCACATAAAATCACCTGAATGGGCTGAATAATACAGTGCTGATTTAAATTATCCGGACAAAACGAACAAAACTTGAATTTTCAAACGCGTTTTTCTCAAATTGGGTTAAAATTAGACAAAAAGTGAATAGGACAAAAATTGCTTAGAATTTCACCAGAATTATTATGGTGCCATTTTTTCTCCCAAATCCTAAACCAAAATTTTACCCCAAAAATGGGTCATTTCGGCTTTTCTCAATTAATCAAGAATTACGCTGAAACTACTTTGTTAATTGATATGACAGTTATATCACAGGAAGACTCTTACGCAGCTTAACAAAGTTTAAGAAGGGTTAAATCTCCAAAAACCAGTATAAATGAAAAAAATTTTCACTTGTTAGTCAATAAATGTGATTTTTACTATATAAAACCGAAAACCACTGTTTAAAAATAAATTTTAAACAATTTGCGCAAACTTTTGGAGATTTAACCCTTTTTAAACTTTGTTGAGCTGCGTAAGAGTCTTCCTGTGATATAATTTTCATATCAATTAACAAAGTAGTTTCAGCGTATTTTTTTGATTAATTGAAAAAAACCAAAATAACCCATTTTTGGGGTAGAATTTTTGTTGAGAATGTCGGAGACAAAATGGCACCATGTTAATTCTGGTGAAATTTTAAGCATATTTTTTTTTCAATTTTCTCTTCACTTTTTGTCTAATTTTAACCCATATTGAGAAAAACGCGTTTGAAATTCAAGTTTTGTTCGTTTTGTCTGGATAGTTTAAATCAGCACTGTATGTCATGATAAATATTTTTCAGTCCTGGTTTGAACGACAAAAATTTTTGTTCAAAAAAGTACTTCGATGGAGAGAAAAAAGTGTTCAGAAATTCTGCCTGATATAAAACGATTAAAAAAAGAAGAAAAGGGCAGCTAATGTTGATTTTTACTCCTGTCAAAATAATTTTTATAGTTACTTTAGAGCCTTCGGGAACGGAAAATTTTCGGGAAAAAAACCTTAAAATGAACAACTGCTAAAACCCCATTTTTTCTAAATGTTTTTTTTTTTAAGAAACCGGTTGCTGAATATTTCTAACTTACTGTGATTATTAAATGTGCATTAGTTCTAGGCTCTCGTTTAGAGCTTTCTATCACAGCTTGGACAAAAATGAGCAAGTTTTCAAAAAAGAAACATTTTGCTTACTGTTCTTATTTTTTTGGCCCAAAAATTTCTGGGCTGGCTGTTTTATGAGCAACCGGCTATTTCTTTCTTAATTCGCTTTTTTTCACGTGAAAAATTGTATTTGATATAGCTTAAGTTGAAAAAATTTTTTGTGCAAACAACCTAAGAATACAAGTTGATTTTATTTTCCACGATACGATCTTTAATCTGGTACAATTCTAAAACTTGACAAAATTTTTCTGAATATTTTTTTAAGTTACAAAAAGCTAGTTTTAAAATAATTTTGAACAGTTGTTTTTTTTTAACCTAAAATTTCTATCCACAACTCATCATCAACTTTGAGAAAAGAAGCAATTATTTTTCAATTTCACACTGGAAAAGTATCAGCCAATGTCAGCGTTGAAGTTTCTGCTGAGCAAAAAGTTACCAAGTGTTCAGCAAGGTGCACATTTGTTGCGATCACTTGAATCTTGAGCTACTTAAAGGTAAAGTGTAGATGTTACAAAATTCATGCAGAAAACTTTACACCTCTGGTTTTTGACCTACAAAACACCAAAATACACTTTGTTAGAATTGAAAAGCAATTGCAAGATTTACAGTATTTAGATACCCAATTTTAATTCAAATATTGTTTAAAAACGATGCAGTTGAAACTTAAAGCAACCCGGCAAACTAATTTGTCAGGACGTGGCAAGACTGCTGTAGACCATAAACAGAAAAACAAAGCCAATGAGTCGGTTACAGATGATACTTATTATGAAGTATTAAGGATAATAAAACAAGATACAAAATATGAAACAAAACTTTCAGGCTTCAGTTTGTAATATGAGGTAATATAATTTGAAGATCTTTGGGTAAAAGGCGCTAAAATTTGCGCTCGATAATTATTATCAGTTATTTTGAAAATAATCATTGCTAGTGTTAAAAAACTTGAGTAAAAGTTAAATAAAAACTTGTTATGAAAACTTGTCATTTTCGTAAAAAATATCAAGTGTCTCATTTGCTCGCAGTAGGTCAACAGGTTTCAAAATTTTCTCAAGTTCTTGCAATCGCAGAATCAGCTAAAGTTTTTGATATTCTCACAAATTTAGATTTAACTGCACGTTATTTTTTATTCAATGTTTCAAAGCAAGATGAAGTTTTGTACGTCAATATTGACAAAAATTTCTTTGTGTCATTTCCGTTAGCTTTTCATCCCAAAACCAAACTTGGTTCCAGAAAACTGTTTTGGAAAGCTTTATAAAAGGTCTCAAAAAGTGAACATATTTGATTCATGGTTTACCAATCGTGTCTAAAATTGAGACGAACTCATCGAAAACTCAATTTTTATAACCAGAGTTCTGAAAACTGTTTTTCATCAAAATATTACAAATTTGAAAAGATGTAAGAGTTTTTATTTTGTTTCCTGTAATGTTTTTACCCAGAGCCGAGCTTTAAGCACTGGTTCATTGTTGCAGCTTGTAACACATCATTGCTGCCATTTAAAACAAGTTTTGGCAGGGGCGGATCAAAGATTTTTTTAGGTCGACCAAATTGGTTTTCCGAGCATTCCCATAACAATATAAAGACTCAATTTAGATCAAAAATTTTGCGCCGCACGCAAATTTTTGATAAAACAGAAAATGTACGATAAAGTATTTTTTTCTAAGAAAAAAAATATTTTGGGCGTTGATATTATCGACAAACGATCTCAATTCGAATATAATTTATCCTCCGTTTTAACCCAGCTGTTTTTTTGTGAATATCAAGAAATAACATTTATTAAACATTTTCAGAGAAATCATAATAAAAAATGGTCGGAGGAAGTGGAAAAGGGTGATTAGTGATAAACGATGTAGTTTTATGGGACATCATCAGAAAAGAAAAATTTATGCGCTTGAAGTCTCAAAACTGCTTTTAAAAATTAAACCCCCTAATTCTATTATTTTTCATGACCCCCTCCCCCTCATCTTTTTTTTCTGTTTTCTTAGTTGTTTTACGTGTGATAATGTCTAAATGCGTAAGGCTAGTATATGAAGTATAGGGTGAAAATCTGTTTGAAATTGCTACTTTGTTCACCATGCCAAGTTTCGTTGCATTATGACAATGTTGAAGTTGTTTTTCAAATTATTTCTTGCAATCTACAATAGAGAAACCTTGACCTAAAAAGTTGGACACTTTGCTCAAAAAGTTGCATAAATTATTGGATCGTCATGAGTTCAAGTGAATGCAAGTTACACCATTTACCTCATTGCAATTACACTTTGTTTAAAAAACCACATATAACAATTGAAAATAAATTTAACGTTAAAAGATTAATTTTTTTTTTCTCAGGAGACGATAAGTGGCTACCGACACCCTGGCTTCGTCATCCGACTCATCCTAGACGGGAACAAGATCAAGTTCGAGCCAGACTTCCCAGACTTTGAGAAGGTGTTTCTAGAAAACTACTCCTACATCCAGAAGCCCATCTCAACTATACCCAGAGTGGAGACAAAACTCTATTCGGATTGGGTAAGAAAAGAACGTCATAATTATTCATCGTATACTTTATTCTGATTGAGTAAGAGAACCTTTATGATTGATTCTAATTTTTATTCTGATTGGATAAGATAAAAAGGTCATTTTATTTGATGGTATACTATATTCTTATGGGTAAAAAAGATCTTTTTAATTAATTGTAAGTTCTATTCTGATTGCGTAAGATAAAAACAACATTATTATTGATGGTATTTTGTGTTCTGATTGGGTGAAAGAATCATTATGATTGTTTGAAATTTCTGCTCTGATTGGGTAAGATAAGAACGTCCTTATTATTGATGGTCTACTGTTTTCTGATGGGTAAAAGAATCATTATGATTGCTTGTGAATTCTATTCTGATTAGATAAGATAAGAAAAACATAATTATTGATGGCATTTTGTAATCTGATTGGGTGAAAGAATCATTATGATTGATTGTAAAATTACTCTGATCGGGTAAGATAAGAATGTCATTATTTTTGATGGTATGCTGTTTTCTGATTGGGTAAGAAAATCCATTTGGTTGATTGAAAATTATACTTTGATTGGGTAAGATAAGAACGTCATTCTTACATTTGCGAAGCTAGTGTGTTAGTACAAAAAATCTTTTTTCCAACCTAAGCCGCAAATATTGGTGCGGTACCTTTATGGTGCGGCACCCCAGCTTTGTGATAGCATGTGCTTTAACGTTCGAATAGCAATAAGTTAACATACTTGATGCATTTTTAATTCATCAAATGAACTAAAAAAAGTGATTTGTTTCTAACAACATAACAATAATGAGAACTCGATTTCAGATATTTTCTAACTCAATATATCTCGCAATTTTTTGAAATGTTCAATTTTTACATGATGTGGCTTTATGCTTTGCAATTTGTTACTTGCAGAGTTAGTGTGGATGCTTTCAGTTTGTTATATTCCAGTTATTGCATGCAAAACTGAGTCTACTTGTTTCAAGTGCTAATTTTGCTGAATCTCATGGGCAAGTTATTAGCATATGTAGCTATTTTTATTCGTGACTAGCGTTTGTCGGTTGTTAATATTAATGGATAGTTCGCGAGACTCGAAATATGTTGATTGCAGTAGGTAGCAGATTCGAATTCTACACGTAGCCGAGTTTTTGCTACTTCGAGGCTGATTTCTATTTTTTCTTATTTCACTTGATAGATGTGCTTTTTGGTCGTGTTCTCGCAAGTGCTTGTGAAACGCAGCTTCGCATCTGTGTTACTGATCGTATACTGTGTTCTGATTGAGTAAAAAATTGCTTTGATTGATTGTGAACTCTATTCTTATTGGGCGAGATGAAAAAATCATCATTAATCAACGTATACTGTATTCTGATTGGTTAAAAAGAATCATTATGATTGATTGTGAAATGTATTCTGATTGAGATAGATAAGAATGTCATTATTATTGGTGGTATACTGTGTTCTGATTGGGTAAAAAAATCAATTTTATTGATTTCGAACTCTACTCTGAGCGGATAGGATGAGAACGTCATTTTTTGATGGTATACTGTGTTATGATCGGGCAAGTAAATTAGTTTGACGGATTGAAAAATCTCCTCTGAGTGGTAAGATAAGAACTTCTTTATTATTGATGGCATACTGTGTTTGATTGGGTAAAAAATCATTTTGATTGATTTTGTATTCTACTCTCATTGGGTAAGATAAGAAAAACATTATTGATAATCGCATATTGTATTCTGATTGGATAAAAAACCATTATGATTGGCTGTAAATTCTATTCTGATTGGTAAGATAAGAATGTCATTGTTATTCATAGTATACTGCATTCTGATTGAGTAGAAGAATAATTATGATTGATTGTGAATTCTATTCTGATCAGGTATGATAAGAACGCCATTCTTATTGATTGTATACTGTATTTTGATTAGGATAAAAAAATCAATATGATTAACTGTAATTTATGTTCTGATTGGGTAAGGTGAGAAAATCCTTATTATCAAATGTATACTGTATTGTGATAGGATAGAAGAATCATTGTCATTGATTGTAAGTTCTGTTCTGGTTGGGTTATATAAAAACGTCATTATTATTGATGTTATATTGTATTCTGATTGATTAAAAGTATCATTATGATATATTGTAAGTTTTATTCTGAATAAGTAAGATAAGGACGTCATTATTACTGATGGTATCTGTTTTTGATTGGGTAAAAGTATAAATAAAACGTCATTGATGTTGATCGTTTTACTGTATTGTGATTGGGTAAAAGTATCATTATGACTGATTATAATTTATCTTCTGATAGGATAAGATAAGAAGATCATTTTAAATGATGACATATGGTACTCTGGTACTCTGATTGGGTATGAGAAGAGAATCATTTTAGATGATTGGGTATGATATGACCGTCATCAATATTGATTGTGTACTGTATTTTGATTGAGTAAAAGAAACATGACTTGAAATTCTATTTCGATTGCGTAACAAATGAACTGCATTTTTATTGATAGTATACTGTATTCGGATTTTGATTGTGTTCGGATTTCGGTGAAAAAATCATTTTGATTGATTGTAAAACGCTACTCTGAATAGGTAAGATTAGAATGAAATTTTTATTGATGGTATACTGTTTCCTGATGCGTACAAGAATCATTATGAATGGTTGTGAATTCTACTTTGATTGGGTAAAATAAGAACGTCCTTATATATCATGGTATACTAAACTCTGATTGGGTAAGAGGGTCATTATAATTGATTGTAAATTCTACTCTGAATGGGTAAGATTAGAATGTAATTTTTATTGATGGTATACTGTTTTGGATTGGGTAAAAAAATCAGTATGATTGGTTGAAATTTTTGCTCTGATTGGGTAAGATAAGAGCGTCCTTTTTATTGATGGTATACTGTTTTCTGATAGGTAAAAGAATCAGTTTGATTGATTGTGAATTCTACTTTGATTGGGTAAGATAAGAACGTCCTTATTCATTATGGTATACTGTTTTTGTTCGGTTATAAGAATCATTATGTTTGATTGTATATTCGACTATGATTGGATAGGATAAGAGCAGAATTAATGTTCAGTGCTTTTACTGTTTTTTTGCTCAAACTCATCGCAAACAATAAAATACAGTATTTTGATTAAATGATTATTGAAAATGTTTTTGACCTTTTTCATGGGTCAACCAGATTGAGTTTCCAAGCTGGATTAATTTTAAAAAAAAATCATTTTCGCCGAAACTTCCGGGAGCAGGGGAATTTCGACGTTATGATTTCCATTTAGGCACTTTTTCAAAGTTTTTGTGACAACTCATATTTTTTGGAAAAACTGTTTTGTTTTCTGTGCGCACTTCCTTTCAAGTATAAGCGTTTGTTTTGGCACGAAAGGCGCCCAGTGAAAAAACTTAAGGTTGGTCAGCCAAGAATGAATTTTGTAAAATAGTGAAAGTTTCGACTCTTTAGGAGGTCAGCGTCGATTAACACAAGGGAGTTTACTAATCGTTATACAATCCGTGTAAACAAGCAGGTGAATCCTATAATATTTATTAGTGAAGAAGTGTGAAAAAGCGTTGCCAGAAAAGTGAACTGACAATATTGGATTGATGCCGTCATAGTTCAGACAGGTTTGACAAGGATGCAATGCATGGGAGGCTCAAAAATACACCCACTATGAGTGCCAAAACCAGTTATTAAACAAAGTTAAACCATTACTGCGCAAGCAGGACAATTTTTTCTATCATTGCCAAAAAATGTTTAACAAATCATGACAGAACAAACATTGTTTTACAACACATTTTAGGACGTTAATAATTCCAAATTGGCCGAACTGACATTTTGTAAACCTCTTTTTGTCTACGAAAAATGATCACAGGTGACGAAATTGATTTGAAGAATTTCCGTCAAAAATTACTGCTTCCGCCAAAAAGTCGAATTTTGTCTGCAGAAAAAACCACCCAGAACTAATAATAATCCGTCACTTTCTTCAAAAATCAGAGCAATTAAGCCACTTCTGTCATAATTGCGACTGATTGTGAGACCACTTGTGCTGTTAGTTTAACTTATTGAACAAAATCAAAAGTTCCAATTTTACTCTTTCGATTAGCAATTGTTATCAAACTGCAATATAGACTTTTTTCGGGTTAACAACTAGTTTAACAAAATCAGTTGAATCACTATGCAGCTGAGATGCTCAATTTCATGAAACTTCAAATTTAACTTTTGGGTGGGTACTAGTCACTACGGGGGGTACTTATTATTTTTTTTAAAATCAGTTTTTTGTTCGGCTCAACTGGTGCTTGCTCAAAGATTGTCGGCTTTGTTTCCGCTTCGTCAGTTTTGTTCAAATTATAAAGTTGAAAACAGAATTTATGAAAATGTATTGGATTTATTTTTTCATTGTACTTTTTTTTGAGAAGCTTTGGAAATTTTTATCATTTTTCTGCAAAAAATTTGACCGATATTTTTTACCGATATTTTTTGATTCTTTTCGTTATCTCAAAAATCAACCTTCAAAATCTGAGAATTTTATTTCAATGATGTGTGCAGATTTGGGAAACTCCCCCCATAAGCGGCTACGCCCAAAGTTTTTTGACCCATAAAATTATGGCCCTCAGATTAGTGAAATTTTTGACGTTTTTGACCAGTTTTTGAATATTTTTGCTTCTCTCAAAAACTAACCTCTCAAACCTCAGGTTGTGGGTTCAATGGAAATAACGGGTAATGGAAAGCTCCACTGAATAAGCGGCAATTCGCAAATTTTGCTTACACAGTAAATTATTGTCCTCGGAAAACTCGATTTTTTGACTTTCGAGCGTTTTTTTTCTTCTAAATTTTGTGAAAATGGATTGTGGAAGCTCTTTTGCACACCCGAACCCGGCTACGCTCAAATTTTTTTAACCCAAAAAATGAGGCCCTCGAAACAGAGAAAAAAATGATTTTTTCCAAACGTTTTATGAATTTTTTTACTTTTCTAAAGAACTGCCGTAACAAATATGATTTTGGGTTCAATCGAAAAAATAAGTTGGGTAAACTTTTTCTGCATCAGCGGCCAAGCTCAATTTCTCTCAACAAAACTATGATTCTCGGAAATGTCAATTATCTGATTTATTGGCTGTTTTTTGAACTTTTTTCGATAACTATCGTGCCTAATGTGATATCATACGTTTAATCGACCTAACAGGCCGTTGAAGTTTCAACTTTATAATTTGCTACACCCAGTTTTTTTACAAAAAAATTTTGGTCTTTAAACAAAAGATACTTTTGAAACTTTGCGTTTGTGTTAAGTTTTTTGACTTTACACGAAAATTACCCTTGCCATTCTCAAGTCAAGTGTTCAATCGAAAAACCCGAATTTGGGAATCTTCTCAACTTTACCGACTATTACCTGCTTTAAGCAGAACAAATGTTTTTGATTTCTCTTTGAGTTTTCTTAAACTCTACCCGATCAATTCTCAGATTAGAGCGGTTGAAGCGGTTGCGCGACTTTTTCCTGCAGAGGCGAATACCCTTAATTTTTTGGGAGAGAAATGTTGTTTGTGAGAAAATTCCGAATTTTTTTTTTACTCTTACTTATTTTAGTACACAAACAACCAAGAATTTGGGCAAATTCCATTTTTTGTAATCACGTTTTTTGTCCTGCATAATTATAACAAATTCAAAGACATCAAACACGTACATCCAGCTTTAGTTGGGCACTAGGTGTCCTTCGTCAAGACAAACGAAAATTTAGTTCACCAAGTTTTTCGTTTCTTTTATTTGCTTTATTTATGATGTATCGCAAGCGGTGCAAAGCTACGCTTCACCTCTGTGTTAAAAAAATTAGCAGTTAAAATTGAAAATTGCTTTCAAACAACTACAAACTCCGTCAGTATCCTAAATAGAAATAGAACAGAGACTGATTTTCCTGCAGCAGATGCAGGATCTGCTTCTGAAGAATGTAGCTTTGTGTCAAATCCGTGGCTCTTTTACTCTCCCATCCCCCCAGTTTTGAATGGTTCTTAGTGGTTTATTTATGTCATCAAATTGTAATAAAAACTGGAATGATGTTTTATTATCATCTTCCAATTTGTTTTAAAATTTTTTGTCGCCATCCTTGTAAACCTATAGCCACAAAAGTGATGTTTTTGTGTGGTGGGGAACCAAGCCTTACGTCAGTTAACTTAATTGAAGGTTTATCACAGTAATGCGTTCCTGATTTTCGGAACTGAAGCTGAGCTGATTTTCAAGCTGAAATAATTAAAGTACACTTTTTAATGGACATTCTTTAGAAAATTGCAAATCCAAGTTTTGAAAATGAGCCCAAATTGATGAACTTAATTGAACCTAGTCAGTGAATATATTTATTTTTCTATTTGAAGTTAGAGTATTTTTCTATTTGAAGTTAGGGAACTTTTTTCATTATTCAAAGAGGGCAATAACGGGTGGCAAACTGTGACGGATGGTATTATTACGTAACTGAACTGAATAAAACTGTCAGACACCGCATTTGATTGAACCTAACTACTGAACTTATTATTAGACAACTGCATGTTCGATATTGTGAACTGAATTAACGACACTCGTATATTCAATTTTTTATTCATCATTTCGTTTCAGTTCTCAAAAAAAGTAATTGAACCTTATTTTGAAGACTCTTTGTTCAGCTAATTTTAAGACTGAAGAGTTCTAAATATTTTGCTAATTGAGCTTATACTTTTCAATTATAATTGAAAATAATCAGTGAACTGATTTTTTGACCAAGAGTGGTAATACTGAGAGGTATTACGTGACGGATTGAAGTATTACGTAACTGAACTGAATAAAATTGTCAAACACCGATTGAACTTAATTGAACCTAAATGCTGAGCTTATTGTCAGACAGTGGCATGTTCGATATTGTGAACTGAAACGAAATTTATCATTGAACTGATTTTCAGACAGGAAATAACGACACTCATGAAAACGAATTGTTTTTCCTTATTACGTAACAATTTCCTAGAAAAAAACTAAATGTTTGAACCTTATTATAAAAAATCTCTGTATTCACGTGATTTTAAGAATGAAGAGTACAAAACATTTTGCTACACCTTTGAGCTTACACTTTTCAAATATAAATGTAACTAATAAGTGAACTGATTTTTTGACCGTTATATTGGAGTGTTATATGTAACTGAACTGAATAAACTTGTCAAACATAGCTTGAACTTAATTGAACCTAAATGCTGAATTTATTATCAGAGACAATGAATCGTTAGTTATTGTGATGTTGATTGAATTTCATCCTTAAACTGATTTTCAGACGAGAGAAAAGAAATTTTTTTATTGGCGATATGTTAATCAATTGTAGCGGAACGGATTTCAAAAGAATTAGTACTCATTTTTCACCCTAATTGAAATTAGTTAGTGACTATTTCAGTCAGCTGATTTTAAAAACGAAGAGCATTAATCCTTAAAAGCAAGCTGATTTTTCGAATGAAGGTAGTAACGGAAAAAATAACAAGAAGAATTTGACTGTTATTGAACAGAATAAAACTGTCAGACAATGTTTGCTTTTAATTGAACCTAAATACTCAACAATTTATCAGTCAAGACAATGAAAAAAGGAACCTTTCAATCAAATCATAATGTTTTAATCTATGTGAACTCATTGAACTTAATACGTGAACTGATTTAATTTCAGACGGGCAAGAAGGACACTCTGAAGCCTGTGATTTTGGAGGACATTGTGTCGAGTAACAAAGTGAGGGTAAAAGACATGGTGGAACGAGAGAGTGTGGCTCCTAAAGAGTTCATTGCTGTCTTCGACCAGTACCAGTTCCTCATTACTAACCAGGTATGGTCCTAGAAGCAGCTCAATTTCCTCCTAGAACCGGCTCATTTTCCTCCTCCGCCTTCCTAAAATTTTTTTACCATTAAAGGCTTTGTTCACATCATCAGATGGTTTCGAAAATTTCCTGACTATTTAGTTCAAGGCCAACATATTTGGCCAGTATCCGTAACCTTGTTAACCTTGTGAAGTCTCTCGTTAGACCACAAAATTTTTGCTCATGTGATCTGGGCTAATTCATTACTAATTCAAGAGTTAAGTTTGCGATAGTGGTAATGAAACCATAGATGGCGGTCGCTGTTTATATACGCATTTAGAGAGAAGATTTTTTATATGGGAGATCAACCGAGAAACTTACAATTAAACTATGTATTTTTTAAACTAGTACCTTCCTTCAAAGTAGATTGTTTTGAAACCTAACAAATTTGGGGAAAATGTAGAAAAAAATTAAATGCTCAGAGATGGCATGTTAATTATTTCTAGCGTTAACTCATTTTGATTCATCTTTAACTGAATGATTTATAACGTTGATTGATTCTGTTGAAGATTTTTAGCGTTGATTCAATCTTCCATGTAGCTCCTCGTGTCCAAAAATTACGGACAAAAGGTTCCATTTCTAATCAGTAGCGGATTTGGGGGGGGGGGGGGAGGGCGGCTGACGCTTTCTTTTTCAGGGATTCGACCACCTGCCGACACAGTACTTTTTCAGATATCCATTTTTGGCTGACTGACCCAAAAAAGTTTTCCTTTTTGGCCTGTTTTTTTTTGGCGCACAAAATTTTGTCAAATTAGGGTCTTTATTGTGAATTGGGAGAGCTCAGAAAATCAATTTGGTCGACCTAAAAAAAGGTCGACAAAAATTTCAATTTTTTTTTGAAAATCTGCTCCCTCGAGAAATTCCTAGATCCGCGTCTGTTTCTAATGCTTAGTTGGACTACTATTTTAACCTTGCTCGTGCAGTGCACTTTGTAACAGATCCTAAAGTTGTCAGCTGTAGGCTAGACCCGAATTGAGCTCTCAGTAATAATAGTCGATGCGAAAATCAGTCTGTGCTCTCTATAATTCAGAGCTTGATCAATGTCATATTATCCATAATCAGGTCTAAAAAATTGATGAATCGCCCTGAATCGCACTAAAGTTTCATGGATAATAATCGATTATATTGGATTTTGATTGTCAGTCTCTAAGAAAATAATAAAATTAATCGATTATAATCGATTAAAAATGAATTACAATGATACTATTTTTTAAACAAAAAAGTCCCAATATAATCGATTATTTTCAAATTATTTTCAAAAATCTTAATGAAAAGAAAAATAATCAAATTTAATCGATTATATTGGGTTTTAATCCATTTATTAAAACCTTTCGGTGCGCTGTTTTCATTTTCCCCACACCTCCCCTCCTCACATTTACCTGAACTACATAGTTACCTGGCTTGGGGGGGGGGAGAGACGTGTGGGGTGGGGGGTTGGGGGTGATTTCTTGGGCTTGTACTTTCAAAAATTCAAAATTTTTTTTTTTTTTCAAGTCGGCCAATTTGAATTTCGGAGCACTCCCACAACACTAAAAGGACGTATTTCGATCAAATTGTTAGCGCTCCAGGAAATTTTCTTTAAAAAAACTGGTCAAAAATGCCGTTGGAAAATTACTACATATTGACCGCCCCTGGATGAACGTATTCGTTCGAGTTTTGCAGAAAGTTGCAAAAAGTAGAGTAATTGTTTACAAAAGTTAATTAATTTTCATGGATATCATGTACAAAATATAATGCATTATTTTGAAAACAAAAATGAATTATAATCGATTATAATTGATTTTAATGGGTTTTTGTTTTTCGAAAATAATCGATTGAATGGATTAAAAATCTATTACTTCGACTAAATTTGCCATGATAATCGATGATATAGACAACCTTTTAGTCAACAAAAATCAATTATAATCGATTTTTATCCATGAAATTTTCAGCTTTGATTTTTGAATTGCTCAGAAAGAAGAAAGAACAGCAAAAACAAAATTCGAAGGAGGCATCACCTGTAGCTCTGTAGTAGCATACGTTTCATCGCAGCGATTTCTGCTTGCTATACTTCGCAAAGCTGACAATTTATTTAAAAAAACCTACTATAGCAAAGAGTTATTGTGTATACAATAACCTGAGCCCCAAAACCAAGTTTTTCGGCTGTTTTCCCCCTGATTCCAACCAAAAAAATCAAAGGATTATCAATAATTCATTGATGAATTTTCCAATGAGTTTTCGTGGGATACTGCTGAGGTTAGGATAGGTATTGTTGTGAGACCAACCCGGAGAACCAAATATAGATCAGTTTGATCAAATTTGTGACTCAAAAAATAAGATCACGAGATCAAGAATTAATTGATTACTTCCTCTTCATAGTTTGTTCTCTGACCATTCAACCATTATCAGCAGATAATATCAGCAATAAATACTTAATTATGAAAAAAGGCTTTTTTACGGTTGTAATCACATAACGAAAATTTAAATGATTAACAATATAACACTACTCTGTTAACCAATTTATTCTTCATATCTAACACAACAGCATGCAACAAGACTGCTAGTTTTTAAAGGCTCTGAATGTTCCGAATGCCCTCGATTGACAACCAAAATCTTTCAAAATATAAAAATCCCGAAAACTGAATAAATATGTATTTTTAAATTTTTGATATCTTAATTCCAAGAATGTGATCTCTAAATGTCTTTTAGCATTTAAGCAGTTGAGCTCAAGACAGCTATTATCTTTCAGAGGGTAGAAAAACGTTTCTCAAAAAAGCTGTTATAAAATCAAAATTTGACCTAATAAAAAAGCCCCCCAGCTTAAATGTTCCGCACTTTCTTCGAAAATCGGAACAAAAAATTATGAAAAGGAAAACTTGGATAAAAAGCTCGCAACAGCTGTTGATTTCTCAGAACTTTTGAAATCTCACAAACTATGGCTTGGTTTTTTCCATAATTCATGGTAAGCTCGGAATGGTGTAAATTGTAGTACAATAATCAAAAGTTTATAGTGAGGATTCATTTTTGAAACTGTTTCCAAAAAAGTTATCTCATATTGTCAAGATTTTTTGTTTTAAAAGAGCTCGAAAAATCAATTTGGTCGACTTAAAAAAGCCAGCAAAGTTTTTGAAATAATTTGAAAATCCCCCATTAAAAATTCTAGATCCGCCACTGGTAATGAAACAGGTCTGAAATTTTTATTTAATATCGTGCACAAATAACTATAAAAATATATACTATATCTATTTTTTTGAACATACACTGCTTTTATTAGTTATTTTGTTTTCAAATTTTATGTACAATTCTAAAATATATATTAAAAGTTTTCAAAAAAGTATCATTGCATTTACAACGTGAAACACTAATCGTCAAAATAGAAAATCCTCATAATTTATTGCATTAAAGCTGTTAAGTTCAATCAAGGTCTATTTTCTGTGAACTTTTGTTTCAAAACCTTTTGGAGCGAACTGTACCAGTGTAAATATCTGGATACATTATATCACCAGCAGACTGTGCGTGCGCAATGTCGAAACTTTGCACTCTCTCACCACTGTTAGTGTTTACGGTCTGGTGCACAAATGCACCACTCGTTCGGTTGTTTGGCTTTTCGTCTAGCTGACACATTTTGTATTTGGCCCTAGTGGGGGGTGTGTGTTGTCGCTTGTTGAATATGAGGGTGATGCAGCCACATAAGCCGAATAGGGTCCCAGTGCAGAATCCGATGAAGATCAGAACTATGGAAGAGCCGAGTTTGTCTGAAAAAAAATCAGAAGCAATCAAGAATCTTGCATCAGAATCTTAAAGATTTTGAATGAATATTTTTTCTCAAAATAGTAAAAGGCGGAACCCTTTGGGGCGTCCGCCCCACCCCCGGGTGGAAAGAGGCGTCCGCCCTTTTTGACATTACGACGCCAAACTGTGCACTGGATAGGAGCACAGTTTTGTGTCTGTATGTTCCGGGATTCCAGAGACAAGTCTTAAAATATGTTCCAAAATGTAAGTGGATTCCACAAACAAAGTTTCAGTGGATTCCGCACCCATATGCCTGTAACGTAAATTTTGTCGGCACATTTGTTTTGTTGCGGATTCCGCAACAAGCAAATATAGCTAGTTGTTCTGGATTCCGCAACTGTAAGTGGATTCCGCAAAATTTAAGTGGAATCCGCAAATGTAAGTGGAATCCGCAAAATTTGTACGCGGAATCCGCAAATGTAAGCGGATTCCGCAAATTGTAAGTGGATTCCGCATTTTTGTTTATTACTGAACGAATGTTATGTATCTGATATGTGCGCCCTTTTCTCAAAAAGCTTGAACGAGTAGACTTGATTAATGACTGGAACAAGGCGATGATCTTAGATGCCACTCGTATTTTAAGTCCAACTCATCAAGTCTTCTAATCGTGGCCTGATCCAACGTGTTTTTGACTATGTTTTCGAAAAAATTGAAGTGCAGCAATGTAGTGCTGAATTTGTGCACCCTTCTTCTCCAAAATAACAGTTTCTGAGAGGATATTTTAGCGAACTGAATCGGGCAAAGTGGTTGATAGTCGGGATCGCCATGGCAGTTTGAAGTGAGACTTCAGACACTTAAAACTTTAAGCACCGGTCTTGCTTTCAGAATGTAACAAGCGAGTTTCCATATTTTCCGAGGAGAGTAAAGCTGCACTGAACTACTCACAGTTATGTTGACTATTCTCAACGAGGATAAGTCCCGCGATTTTATCAATTTTTTAAAAGATTTTAAATCACATTCATCATATATGATGTAAGGTTCTTCCAATTTAGAAGCCATATCGCATATAGTGCGAGATAGAAAACTAGCATTGGTCTTAAGAGTCTTTAAGTTTGGCGGAATCTTGAAGCGATGAGCTGTTTTTTGAGACTTTTCGGTCTCCAAAGGTTTGCGAACTGTGAGGTTTGCCAAATTTGGACATTTGACAGAAAAGCACCAATTCGGGAGCTCTGGATTCTTATCCCAATCGTCTAACTGAAGCGTTGTGATTCGATCCAATATTGGACCATTTAGTAAAGCCAAGGAATTCAGTTTGTTGCATTTGAACGAAGTGACCTTTGGCAATTTTTTGAGAAACATGAGGTCAAACCCATCTGGGTGCGTGTCCATTTTAATCAATGTCAGCTCCTTGACATTAAAACATAGCTGTGCAAGTTGATATGCCGTATTATGACCGTTATTCAATCGAGTTTGCTGAATTTTTAGTTTTTTCACATGATGAAAGTACCAGCTGTCAAAACTGGGAAGCTCAAATGAAGGCAGAATGTGAACTCTCAAGTCAATTTCGGTAGCTTCGTTTCCAATTTCTGTGAAAATTTCGCCAGCTAGCGTGAGCGCCGAGTGGTAATGTCTTCGGTTTGATACACCACTGTTGCGTAGATCTGAATACAACAGTCTTCAAATTGTTCCCAAATAACACCGAATAACGACTGCAAATCAACTTTTTTTGATCTGAGAAGAAACCACCAAAAGAAGTTAAATCATTTGATCGGAAAACAGAGCATAACACTGAAAATTGGTAAAATTTCCAATTAGTACTTTCGACTAAATGCGTTAGAAAAAATTCGGCTCTGTTTGAATTATAATGGAAGTGCTCTTTTGAAATTTCGTAGGTTATATTTAGTGAACAACTGTTAATGATTCTGTAAAAATGGGAAGATATTGATCGGAAAGCCAGGACGCTGCGCCAGCCCTCATTCTTGGCTTGGAACGAAAAAATTAGGAGCTGGCAGATTTTCCGGATAACGGGTTCAGGAAGATCTGATATTTTGAATTTGGAAGGCCTTTTCATTTCCGAACAAAAAATATCGCCAAAAGTTATCGAGCTATCACTGTCAACTAAGGTTTATACTGTTTTGTAACTATTTTAATATCAAGAATGAAGAAATGGCTCAAATTATTAATATAAAACGTTGTTTTAACTTATCTGTTTGTTCTGTTTGTATTTATGATTTACTTTAGATTTAGTTGGAAAATAGTATCATTGAGGTTAATATTTTTGATGCAATTCTTAAAACAGATTCAAATACATACCATCAAATGTGTGGTAATTCTCTGGAAACTGTGTATTGAGCAGATCTTTCTAAAGGCAGAGCCAGCTTAAAATAGAATAGCAGAGCGCACTTAAAGTAAACAAGACTGCTCGTATCAGGGCGAAGTCCTTATTATTCTGACTGCCTTTTAAGGTTTAGGGAGCATTAATAAACATAAAAAATTCAATGAATTAAAACAAAATGATAAAAAGATTTTTTTTCTAAAACTTGAAATTTTTTTAACGAAAAACGCCCCCCCCCCACACGCCATATAAAGTACAAAAGGATAGATTTTTCTCCTCGCAACAAACGAATTATGGCAAATAAGCTTCTTTTAACAAATTTGGAACGATTTCTAAGACGGATTAAATTTCCGCTTACGCGTTAATAGCGTGAAATATATCGCGCGTTAATTGTCTCAAATTGGCCAAAATGGCAATCTTTAAACCCCATAACTTTGCGAAAAAATGATCACAGATGAAATATCTTTTCAAATTTAAGCTCAAGACAACAATACCTTTTGAATTATATAAAAAACTTCCGTCAAAAATGGCTAGTTAAAAAGTCGAAATTTGTCTTAAGAAAAAAAACCCACCCGAGCACAAATATTCCGTTACTTTCGTATCGAAAGTCGGAACAACAAGACTGCTCGTATAAAAGCGAAGCCCTGAATGTTCTGACTGCTTTTTAAGGTTTATGTAGAAGTAGTTATTAAATGTAATGAAGTAAAAATGAAATTTTTTTTTCTAAATTTCGAAATTTTCTTATGAAATCATCCCCCACACTCCAAATAAATATACAAAAGAATAGATTCCGCACCTTGTAACAAAACAGTTATGACAAATAAGCTTCTTTCGACCAATTTGGAACGATTTCTAAGACGGATTAAATTTCCGCTTACGCGGTAATAGCGGGAAATAAATCGCGCGTTAATTGTCCCAAATTGGCCAAAATCGCAAAGTTTAAACTCCCATAACTTTATGAAAATTGATCACAGGTCAAATATCTTTTGAAATTTATGCTCAAGACCACAATACTTTCAGACTGATATAAGAAAAATTCCGTCAAAAATGGCCAGTTAAACAGTCAAAATTTGTCTGAAGAAAAAAAAAACCACCCGAGCACGAATATATCGTTCATTTTGTATCGAAAGTCGGAACAATAAGACGGCTCGCATATCGTGGCAAAGCCCTGAAAATTCCGATTGTTCCCATTAAAAATATTTAATAGTTTTTGAGAAAAGAAAATATTAAAACCTATACAGTTTGGACAAAATCAAAGTGTAAAATTTTGCATGAAAATAATACGACCAATTAATCAGCCTGAATTCAATTTGGAACGATTTTGTTGTGCGGGATAATTTGCTCGGTGTCCTACAACTTAATGAAATACAATTTAACACCGTACATTTCAACACCTAGTCACTTTATTTCTAAATGATTTACATCGACAACAATTTAACTCCTATTTTCCAGTTTAACACGGTACATTTTAACACCTAGTCATTTCACTACGAAATTTAAGGCTGTATGAATTCCTCATCTTAATTCTTATCACACCAAAGTCAATGATTTGGGTCTGAAAGTGACATACGAAACGAGTCACGAATTAGCAGTGGCTTTACAAATGCTGCCAGCCCTTGCATTCGAAAAGAAAAGAAAAGATCGGTAATTCCTTTGGCATGATCCTTCAGGAAGTTCAGAATGTATGCGACAGAAACTGTTTAGAACCCAAGAGTATTGAGAAAATTGACGAGTTGTGTTTGTACTTCGGCTCTACTTATATAAAAATGAAGTTTTCTTCTCACCCTCCCTTTGGAACCAGCGAGATGCAGTCGTGAGTGGGATTGCTCGAACAACAAATGCTGTCGAGGGATGGCGTTTCGGGATTCAATCCTATTTCAGTGGAGCTCACCCAAATATGTGGAAAGTAGTGGGCAGCCTCCAAAAAAACGCTTCCGTACAAAAACTCAATTTTTTTGATGCATCGAATGGCCATAAGTTCACAAAAAAGAAAAAGTGTCGAGTATTAAATGAAAGCGTACAAAAGATAATGTCCATTTACGAAGACAAAACTGATTGTGTTTTTTCAGAGCGTTGTCTAATTTATGTTAAACCATTGTAAGTTTTGTTTCATTTTTGTTTAGTCTTTAGTATTATTAAAATTCCAATTTTAATCCTACTCAAACATTTGTCAGCTTTTTTTGCAGACTCTCGGAAACGTAACTAAACGCAAGAACTTGACTCGTGCCTTAGCAATTTAATCATAGGACAAGCGCCCTTATTTTGGGATGCTAGGTTGGGGCTACCGGCTGGAAAACCTTTAGCTTTGCGTTTATCTGCCAACAGTTCAAAAAAAGCTGAAAAAGCGATCAGGTCATAAGTTTAAGTTCGAGAATAATACTAAAAAAATATTGATTTTTCGGCTTTTGGCATTGGTTCAACCTTTTTAAAATTTCTATACCGGCTGAAAATGTCTAGAAAATTTGGCCATTTTAGTCGAAGGACGTTTAATTAATTGCGGATTTTCGAAGTTCATTGAACAATTGCTTGTTTTTGGTTCATTTTGGGATAATTCGTTGAAAATTTTAACAAGGCCATTTCAATTTGGTTCGAAATGAATAATTGGAAAATTTGGCAAGGCCATTTCATTTTGGTTCGAAATGAGTAATTGGAAAGTTTGGCAAGGCCATTTCATTTTGGTTTGAAACGATTCATTGAAATTGTTTGCAAGTTCATTTCCATTCAAAACTTACGCAAATTAAGTAGCGCGAAATTGTCTGGCTTTAAATGGCAGAAATTTCTCTCGTTTATTTCTTTGATGTTTACCAAAATCCCCTTTGAAGTAAGTTTTCTGTTCATTTTGGATCAAAACGGTGTGAGGTCATAAAAATTGTTTTAAAATGTAGCGTTGTTAAATTGCTAAGGCACCAAAAAGTAGGGAGTGAAACGGGGGAACCATTCCTCGCCACGCATTAACATTTCGCGTCACGCTCTCAGCATTATGAATAAAATCTTCAAAGCGCGCATAACTTAGACCAGAGCATGGCAAATTTGGCAATTTTCAAACCCCCAAAACATTACAAAAAATGATCGGAGGTGAAACATCTTTTTACATTTGAACTCAGAACGTCGATATCTTTAATGGGGTGTAATAAGTTTAGTTTAAAAACTTTTATTTCGGCCGGTGAAAATTGACTGTAGAAAAAAAAACAACTCCGAGCATAAGCATTCCGTTTTCTTCAAAAGCCGGAACAATAATTATTTCAAATTATGATCAATTCTTAAATACTTCAAATTATACTGTTTTTGTTCCGACGTACGATACGAAAGTAACGGAATATTTGTGCTCGGAGTGGGTTTTTTTCAGACAAATTTCGACTTTTTAACTGGTCTTGGTCGACAAAATGTTTTGTTATCATATAAAAGGTATTTTTGTCCTGAGCTTAAATTGGAAAAGATATTTCACCTGTGTTCAATTTTCGTAAAGTTATGGGGGTTTAAAGATTGCCTTGTTGGCCAATTTGGGACAATTAACGCGCAATATAATTCCCGCTTTTAACGCGTAAGCGGAGATTTAATCCGTCATAGAAATCGTTCCAAATTGGTCAAAAGAAGCTTATTTGACATAATTGATTTGTTACAATGAGCGGAATTCATTCTTTTGTATATTTATATGGCGTGTGGGGGGATAATTCCATAAGAGAGTTTTTTTGAGCAAATTTTACGTCCAAATGTAGACGTTTTATGTATCAAAAATATTCATGGGGGTGGGGGGGGAAAGGAAAAAGAGCCCATTCGTCTTTAGACTGTTTCCACCATATACCTATTTATTTACTTTCTGTTATCTTCCATGGTGAGTTAAAATTGAATCTGAACAATCCAATCGATATGAAGGAACTAATACTTTGTCTCCAAAAAACTCAATTTGATCGACATTTTACATTTTTTATATTATCAACCACGTGCGATGCAACAACGAATGACTACGGCGAAAACAAATTTTTTAAGAGTTCGATCTAAAACGATAAAAAACGAATCTACTGAACAATATCCACCCCTATAGTATTTACTAAGGAATTGCCGCTCCTATAAAAAGAAACAATAAATTAGAGTGGCTATTCTAATGGGCAAAGAACCGATTGGGCGAAACACTCATGGGTGAAGGACCGGAAACAAAGAATTACTTAAATTTACAAAACTAAAATTAAGTATTGCTTCAAAAATAGTACCCGCAGAAACAAAGGTAGATTAGAATCAATTTTAGAATTAAAAAAAATATAAGCTTAAAAAATGAATTTCATATTAAAAAGTTGATAAATTAAAGGGAAAAGATTTCACTAACTGGCACCCAAAGTGGTGACGTCGACACAGTGTGAAAAACTGATGAGCTCATGACAGGGCTGACCTGCCATCTGCACACACACAATATAGGCAGTGTTTGGGTTCAACCCACTAATGGTGTAGTTGTTACTCTTGTTGATCTTCATCATCGAGGTCAGGGGAAAAGAGAGAGACTTCAAGTTCCTTTCAAGCTTACTTTCAAAATAAGTTTATTTTGTAACTTAAACACGTTTAATTGAGTTCAATTTTTTAGATATAGTTCGAGCAGAGATCCAAAAGAACCTGAAATTGTTCTCTTGGGTTAAATAAAAGTTAACTTGAAATCCCTTGATAGACTTGGCTGGACTTCGGCTATTTGGTCTGTCGCCCAGGAACTGTCTGTAGCTGATGTAGTACTCAGACTGACGCAGTTCAGTTGGCATCCAGTCAATTGTTGCCGTCTCATCTAACCGAAACCAAAAATAGTCGATAAAATTTGCTGCTGCATATCCGATAAAGATGTACTTCAATTGGCCCAAAATTTTGCACCAAAATATTATCAAAACAAAATTCTTTTTTCTTACAAAAACTGTTTTTTGTTATAGTGCAAAAAAAAATAAATAAAATCCGTTTGGGAGGTCATGTTCTTAAGATATTTTTTGTGCAAAGTTTTGAGGAGCAATACGATTTTTAAATCCTTCGATATACGTACTTGATCTTGTTTAAAAAACGACAACTTACACCCGATGTTGACGACTTTGATTTCGGATATCTTGTACTTGGTGCAGTCGTCCTCGCATATGTCACACTGGAACTGCTGGGTGTCTTGTTCGTTCACATATTCAGTCACATTTATGGAGACACTCTTTTCTAACGTGGCTCAGCAATTTAACTTAAAAGTCTCCCCAGATAGCCAAAACAATGTTTTTCTGAATCTGGTATAAATTTCAAGGGCTTCGAAATAAACTAAAAGGAATAATTTAAAAAATTCTGGTGACTGAAAATTGTCTACCAGGATCAGCAAGACGTAAAAATCTTTTTTGCGTGACCTCGTAAAAATGATCGACTCGAACTGTCACGAAGTTTAAACTAGTTGAATTAAGGATAATTTGCTTGAAAGTTTAATATAAAACAAAATAAATGTATAATCAAAAGGAGATTTTTCCATAGCGATTCAAATGGCATAAAAAACAAACTTCCCAAATGGCATACATCTCATGCAACAGTTCTTTTTTAAAAATTGAGAAAAACTTTGCCGTGAACAAAATGAAAAAATTCAACCAGCTGACGATTCAATTTTTGATTGACAATTTATCTTTAAAAAAATGTAGAATTTTTTAATCTAAAGTGAAAAGCATAAACTTGCGGTTATTGATAAGCTTCTTGTCAATTTTTCCGACTTAACATTTGTTTGCAAGCAATTATTTCCAAATCTTGTTCACATGGTTTCATTCCTGACAAAAAGTTAAAATTGGAATTTGATAGGAAACGTTTGAATTACAAGGAAAACTTGAAATTTATGCCCTTTATGTTTTATATTTCATGTTTAAGCCATTGGGGAATTTACTATGATTTCTACATTTTTTTCAATTTTTTTTTGAATAAATTCAAAATGCACAGTTATCTGTCTAGCTGAAACTCAGCCAAGTTTCTGTTCAACTTAGTTTCACTTGAACCTCTGTATTAAGTTTGCTTTGCATGATTTCCTCATTATTTTACTTCACAACTTTTTTGTTCCTTAACTTGCAACTGCTTTGCGGAGTATATTTTCAAACTTTGCGTGAAATCCTGAATGCTTCCAAAATTTTTGCATTAACAAAAAAATATTTGTCAGTTATATTACCCTCCCCTCAGGTGGTCCAAAGGTACTTAAGCTTTGTTTTAAGTCACAATTTTCGACAGACATACCTTAAAATTTTCTTAAGGAGCCTTCGGCACCAGTATTTATTAATGAGACCGGAGTGGCTCAGAAATTTTCGTCGGTACTCGTTTAAGAGTATGGTCCCACCGTTTTTGATGAGTCTCACTCGAAAGCTCGTTTAGAAAAGTGGTCCAGCCAAGCCACTTGAAACACACTAATGTTGTTTTTAAAATATATTTATCAAAAACATCAGTTCAGTGGCAAAGATTAGAAACTTTCCTTAAAAAGTTCTTGGTCTGACTTTTTATGGAAGTATTGGCAGTTTCACGGGACCATACTTCCAAACGAGGTATTTAACGAGACCATACTTCTAAACGAGTACCATTAAGTCAAAATAGGATTTTTATAGTGATTTGGGATAGGACCTGAAAACAAAAAGTCGTCAAAATGTTCAAAAGTGTTTTGAAAATCTACTTCTCGAGAAAATTTTAGATCCTATTTGAAATGATTATGCTTATAAAATAAAAGTAAAAAAATTCTCTCAATTTTTGAGAAAAACGGGTCTGAATTCTTCTGTTTTTAGACTAATTTACATGGAAAAATTGATAAGACATTTCCATGTCAAACTCCTCATCATCCAACTTAACTGCAGTTTTACATCAAATATGCTATTTTATCCCAATTTTGAAGTTTGCTATCTGATTCAATTCCTTTTAAATACTATAAAAAAAATTGATTTTTTTTTCAATTTTTTGTTTTGTTTAAACTGTTTTATTTATTTTGCTGTGCCGGGATACTCCTGGCTTCTTGCACAGCAACCGACTATCCTTGTTTGCATTAATCGTTGAATCATTAGAGAAGATTACATCAAGATCTTTTTTTATTATTTGTTGATTTTTGGAGCCTCATAAGTTAAATTTTGATGCCTGATTTGCCCTTCTGATTGTAGGCTAAACAGGTGTATTGTCCCGAATCGGCTGGTTGCACGTTGTAAACCAACAGAGTCCCGTCATTTTTGGTCGTCACGCGTCCGATTTGCTGAAATTAGTGAATAGTTGAAAAAATATAAAAAAATGATCCTTAAAATTTATTCCTTAAAAATTAGATACAGAGCCAATGCAAGCGTCTTTTTTGCAGACTTCGAGACATTTTAGAGACTGTTTTAAGCAAGTTTTCAAGCCAATACGCGCAGGATTACTGGTTTACAGAGGCATTGAAATTTAAACTGGATATCGCCTAACTCTCATGAAAATTCGCCGGCGCCGTCTACAGTCTTCGACTGGATTTGGCATCCAAAAATACTAACAAGGACTCCGTCTTTGTCTTGAGGCACTTTGTAGTGTCTGTCTCTCGGAAGGATCCATTCCACATGTACATATTCTGCACTGTCACTTTCCGCCACACACAGCAACTCCATAACCTAAAAAAAATTTGAAAAAATTAAAAGGAGGCTTCTTCCACTAGAATTTTGCCCATATAAAGATTTTTTACGTGCAATTAGTCATACATAATGGGATACTACCATTCTCATATATAGATAGAACTAAAATGGAGCACTTCGACCAAAACTACACAAAAGAATTCACAAGTTGCTATTGGAGTTACGCAAACATCATCAATTAGAGATAAAAAAAGTTTTAATAAGTTAACTTGCAAAAAATGTATTCAATTTGTATGCATTAAAAAACGCATTCACTGAAAAAATTATAAACTAAAACCCTGCCAAATTCTTATGGACAACGAAATAATTATAAATAAACAAAAAAGCACATAATCTGGAACTTAAAGTAGCCAAAAACTTTATTTAAAAAAAAAACAAGATACGGATTTTGTAAACTATTTCCCCCCTATGGTACCTCGTAATGAATCCCCCCCTATAAAAAAAGAATTGAACAGTTATGCGTATACGAATTTTGTACCTGGTTAACTATCAAACTTGAGACTAAGTCACAGGATATTTTGAGATTAGATATAGCGTCTGTTCGTCGCGCTTATTTTTGGCTGGATATTTTCGTGCCACTCTTTAGTCTAATACCAATCTTATGTTAACTCTTATTTGGCTGGTCTAAATAGATCCAAATAAAAAAGTAGGTATAAGCCAGTTTCTAGTTGGAGAAAAACTTAATTCGATTCAATATGAAAGTGATCTGACTGAGAACAGTCAAAGTTTACAAGTAATAATAAAAAAAATTAGTTTTGAAATATGATTGGTTAGTAATAAATACTTCACAACCATATTCAATACGAAATACACAAAGCGTGAAGCGACGGGCCGCAATTCTCTATACGGAATCAAACACTTTGATCAATCTTCATTAAATTTAAGATGTAATGTTTTTTATTCTTCCGCTTTGAATTTGAGTTATACCGTTTTTGTTCCGACTTTCGTAATGAAAGTAACAGAATATTTGTGCTCGTGGTGGGGTTTTTCTTCAGAAAAATTTCGACTTTTTAACTAGCCGTTTTTGACGGATTTTTCAAATTTCATTCAAAAATTATTGTTGTCCTGAGCCTGAAATTGAAAAGATATTTCACCTGTGACCGTTTTTCGTAAAGAAATGGGGGTTAAAACATTGTTATTTTGGCCAAATTGGGACATTTAGGGCGCGAAATATTTCGCGCTACTAACGCGTAAGCGGAGATTTAATCCATCTTAGAAATCTTTCCGAATTGGTTGAAGGAAGCATATTCGCCGCAAGTGATTTGTTACTAGGAGCAAAATCTATCAGTTTAAACTATGTATGGAGTGTGGGGGGATAATTTTCAAAAAAAAATCTCAAATTTTTTATTACATTCAATTTTTTCATGTTATTACTGCTCTATAGAGCTTAAAAGGCAGCCGGAACATTAAGGGCTTTGCCCTGATACGAGCAGTCTTGTTTTGTTTGGGAATAACAAATAGTAGAAAATTATGTCTTGAGACATTGCTTTACTAAGTTTAAACAAATTCTACACATTTTCTCAATTGGGAGGTTTTTGAAGCTTCTGAAACGGGAAAAGTAGAAAAAAATGTGCTCTTCCTGCCAGCAAATTTTTATTAACCTTTTTGTTACGAGTTTATCAAAAAAACAAGCTACTACCACATTTCATTTTATTTATTCTTCGAAAAAAAAATTCTTTTAAATCAACTGATAAAACTGTCTCAGATAAACATTCTGAAATTGAAAGTGAAATTGTTGATTAAATTTATGAGCTGAGGTACTGAAAATTTTACACAACGTATTAAAATGGACAGAAACTTTTTTTTGTAAATCAAAAATGATCAATTGCGTGCCAAAATTAATTATAAACCTTACAACTTTTGCCCACTCACATTTTCTACCCGTTTGTTGTATCAATCAAAATTTTAAAGGTTGAAAGCTAAAGAAACGAAACAAACTATTGTCTTTAGTATCAGTAAACATGTGCATTAATCTTACAAAAAACAAGCTTTCTAATGGCTTATCAAATAGTACAGTTGCGTATTTCTGTTCCGACGTTGACATTTTTTGATCAGAGGTTTCATAAATTTTGATGTAACAAGTTTTTAACCAGAAAAGTTCTTTTTTCTTGTAAATAACAACTTCTGGTCGATGAAACTGAGCCAGAAAAAACTTGCACTTTTAGACGTTTCACATTGTTTGACGACTTAAAGAAGTTTCTGCATCATCATGGACAAATTTTCCTTCAAACTTTTACGCTATTTTAAAGTTCAGTACTGCAGCTCCAATATATAATGACTTAATGAAGCTAGAATTCTATTTGATAAAGTTTATCTTAAAACCCTGTATTAAACAGTAACAAAACTGAAGAACCCTAAAACGCATTAAAAAAAACTCAAAGGAAGTCAATAAGTACTGTATACCTTGTAAGAGATCAGAGGAATGCTGTTTTTCTAGTTTGAGACATAATTTTTAACTATTCTGGTAACCAATAAAAATATCAACTGGTTAACTGACTTGTCCGACCACCATCTGGGCGTGTGATGTCTCCGGGTAGAATGAGGTTATCCTCGGCACCACACAATTCAACACTGACTTGTCCAAATTACCCAGCAAAACTCCTTTCAGAGGGGTGGGGTACTCACAGGTTACCCTAAAAAAGTTTGGGTTATTTTTGATAAAAGTTTTCACTGTCATTAAGACTCAGAAAGGCCAATTATGCTTCTTTATTTTTTTGCAAAATAACGGATGCAAAATCGTAAAATGTACCATAATTTTTGTTACAATTACGTGTTAGGAAAACAAAACATCTTTGTCCATCTTGGAGTAATTTTTTCCATAATTTTTCAAGAAAAAATTTTAAATGGTGACCAGGATAAACCTAAACAACGTTTCAGCAGGTTTTTGAGAAGTTTTTGGTAGGTTTTTGAGAAGTTTTTGGTAGGTTTTCGAGAAGTTTTTGGTAGGTTTTCGAGAAGTTTTTGGTAGGTTTTCGAGAAGTTTTTGGTAGGTTTTCGAGAAGTTTTTGGTAGGTTTTCGAGAAGTTTTTGATAGGTTTTTGAGAAGTTTTTGGTAGGTTTTAGGTAGGTTTTTGAGAAGTTTTTGAAGCTTACCCAACTGCAGCATCTGGAATTCTGTTCACATATGCAAACAGTGGTTTGATAGCACAGTCACAATTCAGAGGGTTGTTGTCCAGCCAGTTCCACTTTTCACCCGCGTAAGAAAACTAGAAACAAACGGGTTCTTTAAAATAAATTTGATCATATTTTTTGTTGCAAAAATAAACAAAACACTTTTCAAATACCAACCCAAAAATTTTTGTCTAGTATATATTTCAAAGTTCAAACTACATATTTCAGATTTCAAACTACATATTTCAGATTTCAAAATTGATCTCAAACTGTGATGAAACGTTTTTTGGAAGTCAATTATGCAAGTAAAACATTTCAATCAAACAGTTTTAGAAGCTTGCTTCGTTGAATTGGTATTAGCATTTTTCCTTAAAACGAGCCCAGATACCTGGAATGTTGCTAAACTCCCCCCGAGGGAGTCCAGAAATGGTTGAGGCAGAGAGGCTATTTTGTTGTGGGACAGATCCAGCTTGGACAGAAATGCGAGGTTGCTGAACAAATCCACGTCAATTGATTCGATCAGGTTCTGGCGGAACTTTGCTTCCTAAAATACAGGTTGGATCCATGATTTTCTCGAAGGGGGAGGAATTTTCGGAAACTTATAAATTTTTCGAAAAATTTGTTGCTTTTTTTTAAGTAGACCAAATTGATTTTCCGAGCGCTCTCAAAACCCTATAAAGACTTTATTTTGACAAAAAACTTAGTGCTGCAAAAACAGGTGAAAACAATGGGTCAAAATTTTTGCTCAAAAAATTTTTGACCAGGTAAAGAAACAGGTTTAAAAATGAGTCAACATTTTTTGCCCAAAAAAGCGTTTTTCGCCGCGCGCTCTCCTTTAAAATTAGTATGTATTGGCGCCAAAGGTGCTCTTAAAAAAATTTTGGGGTTGATGGGCCGAAAATTGAAGTCATAAAATAATACCAAAGGGGGGACCCTTTGGTTGGTGAGGGGTCGAATCCCTGAAAAGGAAAACTTTTTGATGTGTTAGCATTCTAGGGTTTATTGTTTGGCATTCTAGGGTTTATTGTTTGCTAAAGGTACTGCTCTTTCGAAAAAAAAATATTTGGCTCACCTTAAGAAGCTTGTTGCTCTTGAAACTAAGCGTTTCCAACCCATCCAACTTATTATCCGAAAAGTCAACCCTCTGAAGTTCTTTCATAAACTCCAAATTCGGAATAACACTCAACCGATTTCCATTCATGTTTAGAATTTGAATGGCGCGGTTGTTTTCGAATATTTTAAACGGAATTCTGAGCATGAAGTTGTTGCTAAGGTCCAATTTTTGAATGTGGCTGTTTGTTTCAAAAGCGCGTTCGTGAACTGCTAAGTTGCTGTCGTTGACGATGTGTTCGAGGTATAAATATCGCACGTTTGGGAACCCACCGAAGAAGTTCGGACCAAGGAAGTTTATTGGATTTCCACTCATGTCGAGAACTAAACAAAAACCTGATTAAAACCTGATTAAATTAGAAACATTTTTATGACAATGCTTTCAAAAAACGAGTTTCACTGGTTCCATTTTCTTGGCTCCAAATGTGCATAAAATAGATTCAAATTCAGCATATGAGTTGTTTAGGTCCTTAAAAATACGAACCGTTTCTTTCATTTTTATTTTTCGAAGTTGCAGATCAAAATTCTTCGTCGCTTTGAATTGAAAAAAGAGTTTTTGCAAAAAGAAAATGAAAAAAAAAAGAGTTTTGTTTGAAATGTAAACTGAGATTTAAATAACCGGAAACCATACTGACCTTCAACGCTAACATGCGCTTTCACAGTTCTAGTACCCGGGGCGTTTTTTAACCGGTTGTAGTTCAAATACAGATCGGTCAAATTGTTCACAAAGGTCAAACTATCATCTTCAATTTTGACCAACTGATTCGACTGAAGATACAATCTTTTCACTGATTTCACGCCTTCCAAATAGAAGTTTTCAAACTCGGAAAGTTTATTCGAGGTCAAATCGAGAGTATCTATAGCCAATCCTTCAAACATTCTCCTTTGCAAATTTTTAATTTCGTTGCTTCTGAGATAAATACTGGTTAACTTTGGGTTGTTTCTGAATAAGTTTGACCCTAATTGAAGGTTTTTGTGCTTCTGAAACTTAAATATAAGTAATTCTGGTAACTGCTTAAGATGGTTCTCTTCGAGATTCGAAATTGAAGTTTGCTCGACGCTCAGAAATTTGGTCCATTCTGGAATTCGGGTTGGAAAAGAAATTAGTTCTTTTCCCTGGCATTCCACCACTTTTTTGGCCTCGGAGCATTGGCAATTCTGAGGGCAAAAACTGGATCCAAGTTTGGCTAAGACCTGAAAATTAATTACTGGGAAGTGTGTCAAAATTAAACAATTGAAAAAAATCTTGGATTTCTCAAAGAAAAATTAGATTCAATGAAAAGTATTGAGATTTCAACATGTACTACTTTCTTTATTTTCATCTTTTGTCATACTCTTCTTTTCTGTGGCAAGTATAAATTGAAGCATACACCTGGATTCGAACCAGTGACTTAATCAGGGGCGGATCTAGGATTTTCTCGAGGGGGGCGGATTTTCAAAAAAAAAATTCGAAAGTTTGTCGACCTTTTTTTAGGTCGATCGAATTGATTTTCCAAAGCATCAAAAAGACATAAAATGTTTTTGAAAAACAGGCCAAAAAATATTTTTAGGCACTTTTTGAAAATCAGTTTCCTCAAAATTAGTATATATTGGCGCCAAAGGCGCCGTTAGAAATTTTTTAGGGTTCGTCAACAGATATGGATATCTCAAAATAGGGACCCTTTGGGTCGCCAGGGGGTCGAATCCAATAGATCAAACGAAAATGAAATCATAATAGCTTACCGCGAAGAAAAACAATACTGCGGAGTAATTCATGACGTTCTGTTTTCAATTGAACTCTTGAAAAAGTAAGTTTTTGTTAATAAATGGGAAGAGGTTAATCCGAATAGCCTCAATTACAATAAAAGTAATTGCCCAAGGCTATTTTTACAAATCGCCCTTTGTTTGAAATGCAAAAATAATGTCGAATCTTTTTTAAAAGTGAAAAGCCAATGAATAATAAAATTTTCGCTCGCTATTTTAAACTATGTTGATTGTTGCCAAGGTTAAAAATTGCGGCTTGAACCAAAAAGATAACTTCACTTTTTGAAATTATATTTACGTGTGATCAATTTAATCGGGGCGGATTTAGGGGATTTGGTTTCGAATCTCCATCGTGGAAGCTATAATTGTTCACGCTTAAATTAGGAAGATGCGCTTGGTATGCAATAAGCCGAAAATTTTTTCTTAGGATGCCAACAATAAAGAAAACTAAAGAATGTTCATAAGCTTCCCTTTTTTTGTTTCTGTGCTCATTTTGACTATTTGAAAATATTTTTGAATTGACGAATTTTTTGCCAGCTCTTGTTAAAACTTTCTCGTTTTGAGCTAAAATAAGCAACTGTTAGTTGACAAATAAATTCCGATTAATTATTCTATTTGTAATATACTAAGATTTGCTCTATAACTTTTCAGGCTAATGACAAATTCAACTTGAAATTTTCTTAATTTTGCAGCTGCGCTTCTGCTTAATTTGTTAAATACCCAAGGGGCGATTTTTATTGCCAACAAATCTCGAAGTTCAAAAATTTCAACTTAATCTCTAAGTTTAAGGGAATCAAATTTCTGAGTAAATATGAAACAAAATTTGCATAACTTTCAGTGTAAAGTCAGCTGCAAGATAAATATTGAAATTTTTCATTTTTCTTTTTTTTTCAAATTTCCAGCAAATCATGAAAAAATCTGTCCTCGTAATTATGTAGAAACATTTGCATGAAAAGGTATTAAAATGAGCGAATCGATATCAACAAATTTGATTCAATACACTGGTTGTTTCAAAACTTGGGCTCAATTAACTCTGGACCAATTTGTATTTGGTATAACAATAAAATAAGGGATCAAATAGTTATCCGGGTTAAATTAAACCGGTAAATTTGGGCGACTTTTTCAATTTTGGTGAAAATACAGATGCGTCTGTACTTGACAGTAAAGTGCTGGTTATAACAAGACTGGTTGATAAATAACCGAGTTATAACCCGGCTAGTGATGATGGTGAAAATTAGCAGTGGAAGGAGAATAGGGCTGGATTTGAAAGGTGGGGGGATTAGTTGCAAATCAATTGGACCATTTAAAGGTAAATGACTCTAAGTGTGATCATGCAAAATTGGAGCTTAATTTTTTCGAGTTGTTTTGTGATGTCATTTTTGCGTAACTAGGAGCATGAATTGAATGAAAAACGGTCAAAATAATAACTAAACGTGAAAGGGCAATAATAAACAAGAAACTTTGAAAAGAGCAAAAGAATTTTTTAAATGCCCTCTTCCGGAAAACAGTTCAAAAATACTGAAATGATTCTTTTTTGGACGTTAATCTAACATTAATCACTAAGTTGCCACAATCACAGTTGTAAATAAATTTAAAAATATAGATGCTTTGAAGACTCCGTTGGTTTGCGAGCTATAAATAAAATTTTTACTCCTTTCAAAACACTTATTTCACATCATGCTAACTGTCTGATACTTTTGACATGGGTTGATGGATATTTACGGCACTCCGGTAATTGAGTATACTGGCATTTCAGTCGACACATGATGCCAGTCTTGTATTTTTTGTTTGTGCAAAAGACAATGAACTGTCCAATTTTCTGTTCGGAAAAATACAAATAACCTACAAACGCTGACTGTTTTCACGACAACTAACAAGATGTATGAAACTATGACCTATGTTGTTTTTTTGTGCATTTTTGTGTGCCTCAAAAAAACTAAGAGGTGTTTTAAGAGAATTATCGCAATGAAGCATTTGCAATAATAATTTTGATTCCACACAAACAAAACTTTTCACTCAACGTTGTTGTTTTTTCAGCTAATCACTCTCAATTTTGCGCTACGTAGTTTAGGAATCAGCTCAGACTATATTTTATCCCAATAAAAATAGTGTTTTTTCGGCCATTTTTCGTTGTTTTGATGTTGTACATTTGAAAAAAAAAAATTATGACCAGAAGCGACTTCCTTCGTTCGTACCGATTCGTGGCGTGTTAAGGAGCCAAATTCTCAGTTTACTGAGAAAAATTTGTCTCCAACTTGTCATATACTTATTAAAATTTACAGGTCGGACTGGACTTGGTCAGTCTTTGTTCAGCGATCACTGTTCGCTCCAACATTGCGAGGTCACACTGTGCACTGGATAGGCACACAGTTTGATGTGTGTAGGTCACTAGAATCCAGAGACAAGCCATTTAAGAAGTCTTCAACATACGAAGTTTGGCTTCGTAATGCAGCAATTCCAGAGTTTAAGTTTATATCTGTCTTTTTTAATCCTTAATGTACTTAAAATCTCAGGTATTTTTGTTAGCTTAAGGTTTTGATTTTTTAAAAACTCCAAATAGAAATAGTCCCATATTTGTGAGAATATTGTCTTAGTCCTTTATCGAAATATTTTTTTAACTAATCTTTTGAAGATTGTAGGTCGTAGTATGTGTTCATGGAAATGCATGAAAAAACCGAAGTTTTCCATAAATTTGTTTTTTTTTCCAGCTTTTATTGGCCGTTTTGTTCTCAAAATACGTTTATTTCTTCTCATTAAAACCTTAAAGTATCTCTGGCAACATGGAGAATACTTCCATTCAACTCCTTTGAAAATTTGGAAAACAGAAAATTATAATATCCTAAAGCAAAACAAGCTGACAATAAAGCGGATAAACAAAATAGGTTCAATTTAACGCTTAACTAATTATTTTTTTTGTGAATTTTTTTGTGTTCTTCACGGAAGAATTTGGAGGAAAAATAGTCAAATTTCCTTGAGTCATTTTCAGGTTTACTTTAAGCAAAACTGGATTCGCATAATTAACCAGAGACCACCATTACCTTGTAAAAAATAAAATTGATGGCTCAATTTCGATTATGTTTTCATCTTTTTACGCTGTTTAGTGAGCTAATTTGATTGATCTGCCTAACAATTTTTGATCAAGTTAATCTGCGTTGTTTGAGTTGACTTTGATTTGCTTCATAAATTTACATTTTTGACGAACAATTGTCCTGCAAATACTCTCACGGCACGACCATTGTTAAAAATGTTATTAGAAAATTAGGAAGTTTTTTTCATCTTGTTGGTAGAGATTGCCTTTTTTTCGTTTATACTTAGAAGCTTTTCACCAAACTTTATGCCTATTTTTCACTCATTTTGTGGTTTTCAATTTCTCAAATATATCTCAACACCCACATAGACATTTTCTGGTGTTATAAGCATCCTGAAGTGCTCTGGTTATAATATGAAGCTGAAAGTGTGGAATGGATATACTCGTCCTGTGTTCTAAATTGCAAAGTTGAAACTCGCTCTTTTGGTGAATCATAAAAGCCTCAAAATTAGCTTTGCATAATTAGCATTTTTTAAAAAACCGTCCCGTCTGCACACATGTTGAGCAGAATTTTTAAAGGATTTTAACCCATGGTATTTTTTTTTGCTGATGGTTTTTGTATTTGTGAAAACCAAGAATTAAATGTCACCAAAAGTTCTCGGAACAAAAATATCTTGCAAGAAAGCTCTGTTATTATGATTTTGTTCTTGAAATTTTTGCGGAACTTGGATTCATTGAAAGATTGGCCTCAACTTTGCAACAATTAAGCAAAAATTTGCATCGTAATTTAAATTTATTCTTAATTTTTTTCTTTGATGTTTGTTTGAGATATTTTAAAAAAATTTCTGCTTCTGTCTTGAAATAACGCAACAAAATTTTTACAGCAGTTTTTGCTGGTATATGTTTTCCCTAAGGCGACAAAAACAAAAAAAAATAGTTTAAATGCATGCCAAACTATTGTACATAAAACATATCAGATTGAAAATTTTTCTAAATAGATTGATTTAAGTACTTTTGGGCTTATGAAAAACAATTGTGTCGTTAATCAGAAATTTCTACTGCTATTCAAGCGTACTACTAAGAATTATTGGCAAAACTGTGAAGCTTGCAAATTCAAATGTGTTTTAAAATGCATAAAATCTAAATCAATAGTGAAATTTTTGAATAGCTTTTTGAATATTTCCAGAAAACTTGCAACTTCTTGCTAATTTTTAGAAAGTAAAAATTTAAAAAATTCCAAGAATGCATTCGAAATTGAAAAGCAAATCTTTTAATCTTCTGGCAAGATTTGTGTTCTTTTGCCAAAAATCTTGCAAGATATGCCTTCCAAATACACAAACGATGTTGCAAATTGCAATTTGCAAAGTTAAAGTTTGTACAATTGGTCAATCACAAAACTTTTATAATTATGGTTTTCAGAATCAGAAAGTTTTTTTTCTAAGTTTTTCCTTCAACTTTTTTTTCAACGTTTTTTTTTAAGCTCTGAGTGCCGTGAAGTCGAAAAATCAAACTGGTGCTATGTACACAATTGAAAACTCCTGCATATTGAAACAGCATATTTATCAGGTTTTCATGAATTTCAATAGAAGCAGAGTTGGATGACAGAATACAACTGAAAAAAAAGTTTTAAATTTAGTTGGGGTATTACATTGTGTTCGCCGATCCCGAAAACTTCAAAAAGCCGTGTTCAAAAACAAGTTAGTATAATCAGTGGAAAACTATCTTATTAGCAGTAGTAGATTAAACCCCAGAAAGTTAGATATTCCTGACCAGTAAAAATATTGACCCTGTGAATTTTTCTTCAAGAAATGCATTAATCTGGGCTGAATATACTTGTCATTTGGGTGAACCATCCTGTAATTCATTTTTTTTTCTTTGAAAAATGTGAGAATTAAGTAAAAGAAGGCAATTATACATATCTGCTTTCGGTTATTTGAAGGCACTTTTAGTTTTTCAAATGTTTCTCAATTTTTTTGATTGAAGATTGAAAAGATATTCTCGAATACATACAATCAAATGAAGGTTGATGAAAAATTGGTTTGGCTAGATATGAGTTTCAAACTTGGGCTATTTCATTGAAGAAAAAAGCAATTGGGCTTTGTCTGCTCAAATATTAACAAAAAAAACCTTCGTGTTCTAAGTTCTTTCTGTTTTGCGCCAATATGCAAAAAATAGTCAAATATATTTAATTTGAAGGAGGTTGCATTGGATTCGTAGTGTAGAGAATTTTGTCTGATGTAGATTTTGTGGATGAAAAATTAGAAACTGAAATTATTTAACTTTTTCCTTTTTCAGGCTTTGAGTCAGTTTTTTCTAAAAGCAGTTTTTTGTTCCGACCATTGAAAATAGGGAGGATCTTTGTGTTCGGGTCTGTTCTAATTTTTTTTCTTTTTTTTGTTTTCCACGCAAAATTAGGTACCACAAATAAAGATCGGACTGGGTTGAGTATTGAAGACCTTATAGTCGTGATTCGAACCAACTTTCGAAAAACTTTCTCAGTGTCGAGAAAAACCGGTTTGAATTTTTTGAGTTTTTTGTCTTATTTCGAAGCGAGCGAGCAGTCTTACTCTAATTGCCTTAAAGCATACAATAGCTTAATTTAAAATGTAAAACTTATTTTTAATTGAGTAACGTTAGTTTACTATGAGTAGTTTATCGCCTTTTTGGAATCAAATGTTTCAAAAATTCAAAAAAACATTTTCAACTTTTTTAAAACTTTTTTTTCGTTTTCTTTTAATTTTTCAAGAAAAATTGGTTTTCAGTTCGCCAATTTTAGTTTGGTTGTCAATTATAACAAAAAAACAAAGGCAATGATTTGAAAAAACTTTGTTGTTTTCTTGAGAGTGTTTTCCTGAGACTATGGCTGGAACTTTCTGGGCTACTTGCACAGTAACCGGCTATCCTTGCTTACAGTTTTTCCTTGTTTTAAATATCTTATTATTTATAGGCTCTTAAAACTCAGGCCAAAACTAAAAATATATTTTTGATTGGGAAAATGAAACGAGAACTGGAAATTTTTCTTCGTTTTCAATATTTTGAATGTTTTAGCCGCCATCTTACATCACTTCATCCATTTTCAACTGATTGCCAATTTGCTTAAATCACTTTCAATTTTAACAGGACGTAAAAGTAGTGTTGTCATTGGACCAATTATGTAACATCATTATCAAAATCAAGGTTATTTTTGATTTCAACTGTTTTATATTGATTCAATTCTATGTGCTTTACTAATCTATTTGAAAGAGTTGGTTTCATTCCGGTAACTTTTTTGGTAGCTTACTCGTCAAATAAATTCAAAAAAGATCCGTCTATAAAGACTTTTTAATTTTATATTCTTCAATTTTTTTTTTCCAATTTTTAAACACAAAAAGATCTCGAGAAAATTCTTGTTCAGTATTACGTTGATCTAGAATTATTTGAGGATGGTTTTAATTACAAACTTTCAGTTTCTGAGGAATTTTTTGAAACTTGACCATTTAAAAATATGAAAAAAAACTTAAACAAAAGGGTTTCGAGTCTCATTTTTAAGATCTTCTTTTTGTGCACTTTTGTAAAACAAATTAAAATCAAAAAAAATTCAACAGCACATAGTTGTTCTCGTATTTTCTATTCAGGTAAAATAGCAGCACGAAAAATCTTCCAAAAACCATTTTCTACAAGTTTGTTGCCAAATTAATCATTTTTCAAGAGTATAAGAGTAAAAAAAATCTGTTAAAAATCTGTAAAACTGATTAGAATAATAAAGACGGATAAAAAGATTTAAGCCGATTTAAATTGGACCAAATGGATTCACAGCAGTTTGAAGAGAGTTAGAATGCCTAAAAAAACAAGTAACAGACAAAAAACGCCTAGATCGATTGAATTTGATTAAATGTCTAGCAAGTCCGTTGTTTTTTAATACAATTTTTTTGTTACTAAAATAGATCCTAATGCATATTTGACAGCGCAAGTAGTTTTGATAATTTATGTTTAGTTAATACATTGTTACGAGTGTATGTTGCATACGGATTGTTGAAATTTCCACGTGCTTATAAATTTGCTTGCTACTTTTTACAAAAAGTTTCCTTGAATTTTTCAATATTTTTGGTAATGTTTCTTAGGATAATTCTCAGAGTGCCATGAAAGTTTTCTCAAAGTTGTTGAATTTTTTATTGCTTGTATTATTGTAAGAGATAGTATACGCGCAAATTTATCATATATACTCCTGTTGTGCCTCATCTACGCTGACTGGTTCAATCTTTGAGCCACATTAGTCGTATCATTACGGCACCAAGTTTGGTTTTATGACTAAAGACATCTTTGCGCTTTCGCGCTTCTGTATTCCAAGGACACATCTTTTGCGTGTGTTGGAAAAGTTTGTCAGTGATTTCTACTCTTAAACAATGTAACTATACCTACCCCAAAGGCCGACAAATCTTTTTTCTTTTTTCTTTTCATTGGACTCCGGAGACAAACGTGTTTCGGTTGTGGAAGTGAATTCTGTCCACTTTCTGTGGATTCCACAATTTTTTAGTGAATTACGCTGTCAATTTCCCGTTTATCTTCGGATTTCGCTGTTGATCAGTGAATTACGTAGTCATTTGGTTATTTTGTCACTGAATTCCACAATTATACTTTTTGAACTATAGAATAAAAAGCGGAAAGAAAATAAGTTGTTTGCGGAGTCCACTGCTAAATTATGGAATCCAGCTAAATTTTCTTTATTTTGCTTCAACTGCCAAAAAGCAATTGTCTGCGGAACCCAAATCGAGCGCGTCTTTGCTTTTGTCTTCAAAATCTGCCTTGTACTGGATTCCAAATTCTTGCTCGGTAGCCAACACTCAGGTTTAGCGCCTAGTGCTTATACATTTGTCTTTCAATTTCACCAGAATTACGACTTCAAAGAATATTTGAAATATTGTGGAGATCAACACAATTTATGCGGATTCCATGGACAATGTATGCGGAATCCAAACCATTACCAAAGTACCCGAGCTTGGCGTCGTAATGATTTTAGAAGAAAAGTGATAACACCTTTGACAAAATTATTTTAAAAGAACTGCCAAGACGTAGCTTCTAAAAGAAGAACTAGTTTTAACAATATTTTAATATTTGTTCTGTTTTGCAACGCGTTCTGATGTTTATTCTGCCTTTATAGTTTGTTTTTGGGTCAATCGGAGCTTCTGAAGTTTCAGATTTGACAATCTCAGAAATCAGGAGAAATTGATATATTTAGTAAGCCTTGCCTTTGAAAACCGGCAGATATGATTTTGCAAAACTGACTGCAAAATGCCGCAACTTCGAAACATTGTCATCATCAGCTATAGAATTTGGGAGCTTTTTCTGAAATCGTGTTTGTGTTTTAGGCTGAAAAAGACGTGATGAGTTTTCTATCAGCTGAAGATAAAAACTTTGACGAGTTCTGTGAACAAGTTCTGAAATATCTGCAGTTGAAAGAAGAGATCGAATATGGACTGAGAAAGGTAATGCAGTTCACATTTCACTATTTTTTGTTCGTTTTTTTTTCGAAATATATTTTACCATTTTTTAAAAACAAGCTTAAAAAATTTAATATCATTTCAGTCAATCAGTGTAAGTAAACAGTGTACAATTTAGTATCCTTCACCATCAGTATAAATTACCTGTCATTCTAACCGCGTATTTTGATCATTAGAAACAAAAATGCAATTTGTTAGCTGTTTTGTTCATCATTTCAACAGCAAAACGACTAGTGGTTCGAATCCTGCTAGGAAATAAGTTGCGATAGTAAATTTTTAATTTCCGTTTTTGAGGAAATTTATCTCCTGCTTGTGCAAGTAGCACAAATCATTCAATGATTTAAGAAAACAAATTCAAACATACGAAATTTTTTTTTTAAGTTATCGGAAAAAAATAAAAAAGTGTTTTTTTTTCTTTTTTATAAGTAAGCTTTTCGTACAAATGATATTGTCTGTTAGTTTTTTCTTCGGTAATGCGCAATTGAATTTGGTGAAAAAATGCAAGAATGAGAGGATGGATTTGCTGAAACAATGTCAAGACTAGAAAAAACAAGTACGCTGGTCACCATCTTTTTTGTGTTTAATTAGTCTGAAGTTCCATATTTTTCAGACCAGTTTTTTTTTCGACACTGAGACAATTTTGTTTGATTTTTTTGGAATGCCTCATTTTGAAATAAACTTCCGCAGAACTTTGTTGAAAAGCCTCATTTTGAAAAAAACTTCCTCTGAAACTACTCTCTCAATAAATCTTTTACAATAAATCTCTTCAAAAACGACTGATCTAAGAATGTTTTTAGGTCACTCGTCTGGGCATGTTCGAGTTGCACTGTGATGATCTGATCTTCGCCATGGCCAAGAGGGCAGACTACTTAGCCACCAAACTGGTCCAGAGGATGTCCAAAGACCACATTGAGGCCAACAAACGGTACAGAGCTTGAAAAAAGTAGAAATTCAAAAAAATCAGTAGATCGAAAAATTAACAAGTCTTAAAATTTTTTTTTTCTCTCTCTCGTAATTGTGACTTTGAGTGCAAAATTTCGTTTAAACCACCTAGTGAATTTCTTTTGTTTATTACTTATGCCTGTCTGAGTTTTGTGCTTATTTTAATTTACTGGACGAAACGATCAAAATGATTTTTTTTCTCACACGTTTCTCTCAAATTACGTTAGATTAAAAAACCGACGAAGACAAAAGTTGCTCGAAGTTCGACTGAAAAATATGGTGTATTTTTTCCAAATTTTGCACTGAAAATTAGTCGTCTGAAGTACATGTTTTTTTTGGGTCGATTTATTTAAACCTACCCAAAAAACTACTAAGTTACGGTCTGATTAAATTATATAAAAACATTCTTAGAATTTGTAAAACAAAATTTGAAAAAAAAACTAGCTGAAAATTTTAATACGTATTTTTCTTCCTGGCATTTGATTGCCTAGTAGGCTGTTTTACTAAAAATCTTCTTTTGATTTGAAATCAATTTATAGTCAATTTCCAAACAATTTTTTTTTCCGACAACTTCTTGAAATGAAAAGATCTATTGTGTGGCTCGTGAACTCCAAAACTCATTTTGACTACCTCAAAAAAAACTCGTACCGATTCGTAGCGTGGTATCAATTAACAGCTTTTTAAGTTTTGCTTCAGTTCAAACAAAAATCGAAACAATGTCTCAGCTTTCAGAAAAACATTTTCGTTTTAAAAAATTCTCCAAAAAATGACATGAAACTTACGAATAACACAAAAAGAAACTGAACTCTCAACTTATACCTATTTCTTCTTGTATTTTGATTCGGAAAAACATAAACTTTGGACATCTTTTCTATATGATTTTTACTATATAAACTTTACTGAAAAAACGAAGCAAGCAATTTTTGTTCATGTTTAAAGAAAACAAATCATCCTAAAAACGACTCAAATTTGATAACGAGTTTTATAGAAATTTTTATAATAATATTTGGTAAAATCCTCGGCTATTTTGTTTTTATTTGTGTACAAATTTTTTTTTTCGAAACTCTAAAAAAGCTGATAGAACCTTTTCTTGTTGATTTTGTCTAAAATATTTAAATATGTGCTGTATAGATTATTTTTTTCGTTTATTATAGATTGTTGTATAGATTATCGGTAAGAATTTGTAGAGTTGAGTCTAGCCCAAAGTTTTTTCCAAAATAAAAAACTCAATCGCTGTGAAAGAAGCAAAGAGTGTTTTCCTTCAATTTGACTTATTTATGTCTGGAATTTTTTCAAAATGCAGAAAATTATTTGCAAAATAATTGAATTTATATTGCATATCATTTTCAATTTCTTTTTAATTTTTTTTTGGTTTTTCAAAATTTTATTTTTTGATAGCATAGAAAAATGAAAGCGCAATTGACTATTTAAATCCAGCGTGATTTTTCTTAACAATTTTTTTTGTGTGTATACCATAAACTTCATATCTTTTTTAATATAAAAAAACTTTTTTGATTAAGTTTTGCAATCGAGATTAATTGATCTTAATTTGAAACTACGTGCTCCCCTGACTTATAGCTATTGTGGACAAAAACCGCATCTACGCCATACTTTTTCTGTTTGAGATTGGCCAGAAAAAAACAACACCATGGCGAGAAATAAAGGGATTTTAATATTTTTTATTTTGATAACTAAAAAATTCTAAACTAATTTTCAATGAAGTCGGATTAAAATAAGGCCTCCAAAATTTCTGTAGTAACCTTGAGAGAGGAGAATTTTTCCGAATGAGTTTATTGTAAAACTATATTTATGACTGAGAATTTAACCTGTTTCATTTTAGTTTATCTTGTTTTTGTTCGACCATTGAAAATGGGGAGAAACATTGTATTCGGGTGTGTTTTAATTTTCTTTGTTTTTTTTGTAAACGCAAAATCAAGTACCGGAGATAACCATTGAAATGGCTCGAGTGATACATCAAATAAAAACTCTTTCCACCGCAATCCGAACGATTTTAAAATTTTTTCTATGAGTTATTTTAGTATCAAGAAAATTTGCTTAAAGTTTTCATTCGTTTTCAGTCTTTTCACTTTTTTCTACACAAATACTGTCGATTGACCTTATTTCAATTGTTTTTAAGCGTTTTTATAGTTCTCAAATTACACCACGCACTAAAAACTACAATAGTTTCAAAAATATTTATTTTTGTAGCTTTTTGTATATACGTGGGCGTGATTTTTTCTCCCACAAAATCAGGCACCACAAATAATCATCAGATTGAGCCGAGTATTATATCCTAATAAAACCTTTTTGATCAGGATTCGAATAACATAAAAACAATCCAATTTTTTTCAAGGTTGAGTGAAAACTGCTTTGAATTGTTAGCCGTTTTGTCTATTTTTGCGCCGTTAAAGCGAGCGAGAAGTTGTTGTAATAGGAAAACCTTTTTTTAAGTCGAGAAAAACATATTTGTTACCTCAATGATTTTAACTTTCAGAGATTTTCTGTTGGCAATGGAATGTTTTAATTGTTTGTTTTTTGAAACTTCACGATTTTTATAGTTTGTTGATTTCTTTTTAGTTTTAAATTTCAGTTCGCAATATAAATTTGAAACAAAATCAATTTGAAAGCGTGTTTTTTCCTTAACGTACTTTTTTGAATAATATTTTGAGAAAACTTTTTTTTTCAGGTTGTGTGAAGAGTTTGAGGAGATAGCGGAGAAGGCATTGACCACTCCTGCAAACACTTCTGAACTGATGGAGTTGAAGGCCTACATTGAACACGTGGAGGACACCACTGTCTATGAGTTGGAAAACAGACTCATACAGGCACGTGTTATCGCAGAAACTTTAAAGATTTGTAGATTTATAGAAAAAGATATATATTAAAAAATATTACTATAATTTTAGTAGCCATTATTCGAATTAGAAAAAAAAAGTTCAATAGTAACCGAATGGTTTTTTGATCACTGAGCCTCACTGTTGCGACCACATTATACTTGTCAATTTTTCAAAAAGTTTTTTACTATTTAGTTATTTGATTTTATTTTTTAATAAACTTTAATAAACTTTTATAATTTTACAACCTCGTAATTGAGAGGAACTTTGTGTTTGCGTGTTTTAATTTTTTTCAAGTTTCAAACTAAAATTAGGTTTCCTTGAAAACACTTGCGAATACAAAGTTTGTACCAACTATGATCGGTCAAAACCAGAAAATAACAAATTGTAGAACATCTTCCCTTAAAATTATCAAAACACCATTTAATCATCCAATTTTCTATCTAATTTCTAGGCCAAAGACAGACTGGCCTTCCTGCTGGAGTACTCTGTGTCCACTCCTCAGGACATCCGGCTGAACAACAGCACCTTCCAGTGGTACGAACGGATACCCGAGGTGTTTCTGGAACACAAAGTGATCATACAGGAGAAACAAAAACAGTATGAAGAGGCGCTCAAGGTCAGAATGTTCTAGAACGTTTCAGATTATTCCATAAGAAATTATAGTCTCCTGAATAATTAACAGCATTTGTCCGAAGACAGTTCGAGGAAATGCGCAATCATTCACATCCTTATATGATTTGTACGGAAATTGACTAATCATAATAGTAGCATTTCTTGAAGTTGCATTTTTGCTGACACAAGTATCTCAAAAACAGTTCATTTCGGTTACTGATACTGATTTTTTTTTGATAAATTGGTAAGAATAGCCTAGAAGGTTTCAACTTGTTTTCGGAGAATGAAAACTCTCATTTCAAAAAACGGGAAACAAAGATCCAGGTTCACTTAGACGCTCTTTGAAAGCGATTGAAATTTATATCTTTTGAAAAATAGTATAAAAAGTTTGCAGTCATTCTGAACGTCATAGTAAATTTGTTTCAAACTCTGTTTAAAAATTGTAATCGATCCCCTGCTATGACAATGATAGTGTGTTTATTGACCTCCAGTTTCAGGTCTACCACAGTCTGATCAAATTTAGTTCCAATAGTGCTACCACGTGAAAGTTCAAGACGCAAAAAAACTACCTTTAAAACGACCGCTAAAAGAGCCTCGCTCAATTGAAGAACTCATTCTAGAATGTGGGAAAATAACAGAAAAGGGACTATGCTTAGACAGGCTGCAAGGCTTTCATTGATTCTCTGCGAATCGCAGAAACGCCAATGATTAATTATTTTCCTAAACGCCAATGATTAATTATGTAACTTAAAATTTACATAATTACATTAAACGCCAATGATTAATTATTTTCAACTTAAAATCTACATAATTTTTAGTTGCGTCGCGAGAGGTTCATGGAGGAATTGGACACTTACTCGAAACAACTCGAGGAGTTCTTCGGCTTTGGAGATTTAGCTGACGTGAACAAGTACCTGAAGAAGGCACAGGCACTGGAACAGAAGTTGGAGTCTGCACAAGAAAAGGTCAGTTACGTCTAAACGTAAACACTCTTCTCATTCACCAAGTTAATTTTCCCACTATAATTTGCTTTTTCAGTTATGTATTTCAACAAACAATTTAGGGGTTTTTTCACTCTTTTTAGCTTTCAGTTTCCATCTAGTTGTTTTTGATATACCATAACGACCAGACGAATGTTCGACTTTCTTTCTCATATATTTGACGCCCATAATGGTTTTATTAGGCTTTTTCTCTCTTTTTTTTTAAATTTTGTTTTCTGAATATTTCTTTGCTGCTACAATAACAAACATTTAGTTTCTTAGCTGCCTTTTGCCAGCCAAAGAAAGATGTTCGATTTTTCTCTGGTTTTATCGATTAGAACTAATATCTTTGTTGCAGCGCAAATATAAAACAATAGTACAAATGCATATAAACGTAAATGTGCGAGAGTATAAATGCATATAAAAGTAAATGCATACAGGGACAGTAGCCAAGCGTATACATGGTGCGTCCCGGCGGGTTCGGCGCCGGTTTGAATCCCGACTAGGTCATTTCCTTTCTAGAACTCGAATATGCACCGAACTTGATGGGATGCTCCGTAACCAGGTTCAATCCCCCCCCCCCCCAAAACCGATTTAACCGTCTTTTCGCTCTAATTTGGTTCAGCCTTGATTAAGGCTGACCTTTAAAAAGAGCAATTTGTCTCAAGGACAAATACTGGCCATTTTTGCAGCTTGCTTTGAGTTATGCAGTTTTTTGTGTCCGATGTTACCGATAACAATAAAAAAGTTTGTTAAAAATATCATTATATTACGAAATTTCCAGAGTTATTTTCCCGATAAAATACTCGTTAATTCAAGTGTTTGAAAAGAGATTTTATTACGAAGTGTGGAGATTGGCGCGCACATTTTGGCGCCCCACAAGGGACACGAAAAGAAGGAAAATACTGAAAAAAAAGGAAAACTCGGCTGCAATTCTATCCATATATTGTGCCACAGACAAAGGAAATTCAGAGCGAACAGACTCTGAATTCAATTTGGAGTCTTCCATCAACGAGTCAAAGGAAAACAACTCTTCCTGTGAATTCGAGAGTGAATTAAAGACTCCGCCCGGTGTGAAAAGAGAAAATCTGGTTGATAACTGGTGGGGGAGTTTAACAGAGGGAACTAACAGCAACAAAGAACAAGACGCAGCTGGGGTGACTGTCTGGTTGACGAGAGTCCGTTGTTAGCTGCGAAAGTACTGCGGAAGAGATTCGACGCTCTAGATCTGTTCTGCGAAGTTATCTGTCTTCTTTCTCCGTCTCATCTGAACTGAAGTGCTAGAACTGCCTTATTTGATGCTAGGATGGGTGCTAAGCTGTCTTCCATTCTTTTCAAAGCTGGTGTCTTGGAGTTGAAGGCCTATATACAGAGGTGATTGCTGGACAACTCTTCCGCGGCAGACCGAAAATCTTACAACCGAAACCGGTGACCGCCCAATCTCCAAAACCGTCAAAAACTGTAAGACTTATCTAGTTTTCATAAACTTTTTTGTGCAATAAAATTACATACGGTGTCTTATTGTGTATCCCAACTCAAAGCAAGCTACAAGTGGTAATTTTCCCGATACCACAAAGTTTTGGGTAATTGTGAACGGATTGAAAATCCAAGAAATCGGATCATAGACAAGGGGTACTAGACTAGTTTTTTGGGTTGGTTTACGACTCGAACCTGCTGACCAAAATTTTCCGAAAAATTTTGGGAAAAAAGTAAGAAATTTCCAAAAAATCGTCAAAACGTCCCCATAATTCTGCGAAACTGTGCTGTAACATGACACCAACCTTATGGTAAGTGGTCTGGTAGCGAAATATCAGGCAAATTAAGTTGAGTTTTTTCATCCTCAGGTTTTTCCGCGTGTGTTGTTGGAACTTAACCAATTTGCCTGATCCCCCCACCCACATTGGTGAAACTGAAAGCCAGTACGCTTCAAGTAAATCTAAGCCGTTTCAGCCCGTCCGATTATTGACTTCGTTGCGCAACACTAATGTTAAGTGGTCAGGTACGGTGATATTAAGTGAGTTAAGTTGAATTCTTTCATCCTCAGGTTTACTCCGTGTGCGTTGTTGGAGTTCAACCGACCTACTTAATTTCCCCACCCCATTGCTTCAAGTAAATCTAAGCCGTTTCAGCCCGTCCAATTATTGACTTCGTTGCGCGACACTAATGTTAAGTGGTCAGGTACGGTGATATTAAGTGAGTTCAGTTGAAGTCTTTCATCCTCAGGTTTACTCCGTGTGTGTTGTTGGAGTTCAACCGACCTACTTAATTTCCCCACCCCATTGGTACTTTAGCGTAACGTAGCCGTCGCATAGGTCTCTTGAGTGTATGGTATTCATTCTAGGAGCTAGTTCCTTGGATCACGCGCTCCGTATACTATCCGCACCGTCTCAAAAGCGCGTGAAAGAGACTTGTTTCACAAAGCCCGGCTTAAGCTTTAACTTTAACGCCAGGGACTCGCAGAAAATTATCCAATACTATCTGCATCACTTTTTGTCGAATCGGAAAGATCTAGTTATTTGGCACGACGCCATAAATAACTCCATTAGTAAGCACCGCAGTAACAACAACCGTAGTTTGAGTACTGATCAACTTAAGAGCCTTCTTTTGAGATACAAGGAGAATATTACCGCTATTGTATACTGTCGCCGCAATGGTACGAACAATATAGAAAAGGAGTTGAAAAAGACAGGCATTCTCGTTCTTAACATAGTTGAGGATTTTATCTCAAAGCGAAAGGCCAAAGACCAAATACTTATCGAAAAGTATAAAGAGCTGCACCAGCCCCCTTCCCTTGAGTTGAAGACTCTGTTGTTACTTAGACGATATAGTGCTGACCTAAATACACTGAAAGCTAAGAAGAAGCGGAATCGATTGTCGCCTAAAAATCGTAGAGCGATTCACAACAGACTTAAAGCGTTAAAACTTCAAGTTACTCCCCCTTGTAAGTTATTGATGTATTAGAGTATTTTGTGGATTTACTTGTGTGAAAATACAGTTTTTTCTGAGAGTCGTTTATTTCTGAAATTATTAAGCATGGAAGTTAAGTTTCAGAAGAAAATTAAGAAGTTGTTTGAGAAACGTAGCACTCTCGAAAACGAACTTTATAAATGCCACGAGATAATTTAAGAATACATAGAGAGTCAGAGTCGTTGCTCAAAAATTGATACTTATATTGAAAAATGTAGGAACTATATAGAACAAGCGGTCGAGATAAATACTGAGTTGATTGATATGGCTGCAAAAAGTGCCAATCCCGACGAATTGATACCGGCACAGGATATGTGGCTTCATAAGTTGACTCAAAGCAACGATAAAGTTCTGCAGGAAGCTATCACATATAAAACAAGTTTTGAGGCAGTAACAGAGCCGGACAAAATAGATAGCTGCTCAAAAGTTTCTCATCATTCTGAAAAAAGTGAAAAACCCCGGTCGCATAAAACAGATACCCGCTCTAAGGTGTCGCACCGAAGCAGCCGACATCAGCAATCAGGTTCTCAGAAATCTAGTTATACCGCCGCTCCGTCGAAAACACTTTCTGAGAAAAAACGCGACTTAATGATTTTAAAGAAACAACAAGAGGAACTTGAGAGGCAGGCAAAGGTATCATTAAGACTGAAAGAGCAGCAAAACCAGATGAAACAATATGTTTTAGAACAACAAAGCAGTTTAGAGTTGGAAGAATTGGCTGAAGAACATAGGAAAAACTGGCAGAAATTGAGTTGAAAGGGCTTGAGTTAGAAGATGAGTTGTCGGAAATCAGCGAGAATGCTGAGGAAAGTGGTTTAACTCGAATCTCTCCACAACTAACAATAGACGAAAAGGATCGTACGCGTCACTGGGTCGAATCTGTCGACCACAATCAGCCTGATGCTGTTGTAGTTCCCAATCAACAGCAGCACGTTCGTTCAACAGCTCCTGAGGCAACTTATCCTGCATCAACAAATTACTTGGTCTCATCAAGTTTTACAGGAGTGAATAATGGCCAGGCAGCTTCTAGTGATCCGGGATTGTATTACAGTAACCACATTCACGGACAACAACATAATTTGTCGAATTTGGTTCGATCGCAGGTTTCCGTTAACAATCCAGTAGGATTACAGCAGGTCATGCAACCTGTTTCCAATAATTTTGCCTCAGCAAACTTTTTTGTCCACTTATCCGGGGCTAGGCAATCCAAACATAGGTTCAGTAGTCCCGGTAACTTCTGAAAACTATTTTGCTCCACCAACATCTGCAGAAGTTCCTTCTGGTGTAGCACCGTTTGTTCCTGCATCAACAGCAATTAATCAGGTTTCTTTGAGTCATCAAACTACAGGATCAGTAGTAGCTGGCTACCAAGAACCTGTAATCCCATCACAGCAACATATGGGTGTTCCCGTTAGTAGTTACAACTTTTCAAGCGACCACTATAATCCGTATAGTAATTTGTGGAGACCAGCTGTTGCTGCCCCTTTAATGTCAGCTCAACAACACTACGTTCCTTCGACAACTGTTTTTTCCGCAGTAACTCCGATTGTTCCTACGAATAATTTTGTTCCTTATACAAGTGGAGGGACTGTGTTCTTTGCACAGCCTGAAATTTCTTCACATGCTAATCAACCGTTCGTTCCTGATTGTCACGGTAACTCTTCGAGTTACACAGAGTCAACTCCCGGTAATTCACCTGATGCAGACGTCGAGCGTCCACTTTCGACACGAGAGTTGGTTAATATACTCATGCACAGCCGAAAAGATCATCTCCCTGAGTGGAAGCTGACCCAGTTCGATGGCAACCCACTTAATTGGCATGAGTGGTTTGGGCAATTCAAATCGACGGTCGATTCAGCCATACTCAGTGACGATGAAAAGCTCACCTATCTGAAAACGCTCGTAGTGGGTAAAGCAAAATCCGCAATCGCTGACTATAGCTATAGCGGAGTACTATATAAAGACGCATTAGCAACTCTTCAAAGAAAGTTCGGGCAGCCGCATGCTGTAGTAGGGGC